CCTGGCTTTATTTAGCTTCATGGATTAGATTGAAGTTAACCTTGGTGATACCGATTAAGCCTGATGAGGAATGTTGGGCTTTCTAAAGCTGGCTTTTTTGAGCAAATACCGAATATGTTAAACCTGCTTCGTAGTACACCCCCCAGCTGTGAGTAACGTTTGTTTATTTGAGGTCTGTTAATAACACCTTTATAGGGCGGCTGTGAGTAACGTTTGTTTATTTGTTTATTTAATGTTTGTTAATAACACCTTTAGAGGGCAGTGGTGGGTAACGTTTGTTTATTTGTTTATTTAATGTTTATTAATTTTACCTTTAGAGGGCAGTGGTGGGTAACGTTCGTTTATTTAATGTTTGTTGATAACACCTTTAGTCAAGTCAAGTCAAGAGGCTTTTATTGTCATTCCATCTTTATACAAGTACACAGTGGAGCAAAATTATGTTCCCCCGGGACCCATGGTGCAACATGGAACAATATGAGTAAGTACAGACAAAGTGCAAACGTGTAGATGTAAGTGTGCAAACATTAAACAAGAAACAATACAATAAATACAATAAATAAAACAGACATTAGACACAGTAAACAGACAGGACAGTGCAGCGCCGACACAGCACTTATTTCTGAGCATGAGGTAGTGCGGACAAGGTGCAGAGATATTTAACATGCTATGGTATGTATATACGCAGCCAGATTATGACAAATGTCAGCACAGCAGTTACTGAGGTAGAAATGCACAGTACTTGAGTAGAATACAGTGTTAGCAGCAATGTTCCAGATCAAAAAGAGCAGAGCATCAAAAAGAGGTGTGTGTGTGTGAGTGTAAAGTATGTGTGTGAGGGGAGATTTTCAGTTCAGTCCTTGTAAGTTTAAAAACCTGATTGCTTGCGGAACAAAACCGTTGCAGAGTCTGGCAGTGATGGCACGGCCAGGTACCTTCTGCCAGATGGCAGCTGTGAAAAAAGTCAGTGTGAGGGATGGATGGAGTCGTCCACAATGCTGTTGGCTTTGAAGACGCAGCGTGTGGTGTAAATGTTGGAGGGGAGAGAGACCCTGATGGTCTTCTCAGCTGTCCTCACTATTCGCTGTAGGGTCTTGCGGTCAGAGGCGATGCAATTCCCAAACTAGGCAATGATGCAGCTGCTCAAGATGCTCTCCACAGTCCCCCTGTAGAACATGGTGAGGATGGGAGGGGGGTGGGCTGTCTTTAGTCTCCACAGGAAGTAGAGGCGCTGCTGGGCTCTCTTGGCTATGGAGGTTCTCTGTGATGTGAACACCAAGGTTCTTGGTGCTCCTGACAATTTCCACAGCAGAGCCAGTGATGTTCAGTGGGGGGTGGTCACCTCGCACTCTTCGGACGTCAACAACCATCTCCTTAGTTTTGTCCACGTTCAGAGACAGGTTGTTGGTTCTGCACCAGTCCGTTAGCCGCTGCACCTCCTCTCTGTATGCTCATCATTGTTGCTGATCAGAACCACCACAGTCGTGTCACCAATCTGGCCACTTCAGGCTTGTGCTGAAATAGTTGCACACAATGAAAGACAGTCACAATTAATTAATTAATATGACAATTAATTGTCAGCTAAATTTTCATGATTGTGACAGGCCCAGAAAATACAAAGTGTAGCTTTTAAACCATGAAATGTAGTTTAACACTCTGTGAAATGTGTGCATAGGATAGGAATTCCCATATGAGATTTTAAAGTATGTGGACTACTTGAATTTTATTTTCTAGGAATAAATTCAGCGGGGTTACAAACACTTTGACTTTTTATGTGACCTGTACCTGACCACAAATGTATAAAAATGACTGTTTTTGTGTTTTTGATTTTGTGTTGCAACAGCTGAAACCCCTGCCTTCTCACACCATGTAATGTTTCAGAACCTCTCCTGATGGGTGTTTCAATGCAGCACTATGTCTCAACCATCCTCGGAAAATCTCTTTCAAAACCTTTTACACAGTTTGCAAACTCTTGCAGAAACGACAGGGACATTTTTCATTTGGGTTTTGTTATTTTGAAACCCTTTTCAACAGCAACATTAATAGAGATATGCCACTTTGGAACAGTGAACATAAAAATCATTCAGTATCTGATTACAGATTAGGCTACACTGTATATTTAAAGTTAAGGACTTGTTAAAAAAGTGCACTTGTAGTTTTTGTCTAATCATTTTTCTCAAACTGGATTAGCTGGGGTTTCAGCAAACTACCACATGGTACCACCATACTGTGTTACAGATCTCCTTTAATCATAACTGTGACAAAAAAGTAGCGAAGTCATGTTCAAAAACATTATTAAACTATTAAGGAGTCGTTGCACATTTGTATTTTTTTCATATGTTAATCAGACACAGTCCTTTTTGAGGAAACTGCCCTGAAGGAAACTGTAGGAAAAAAAGTTTGAAAGAGATAAGGATTAGTTTCTTTTGAGAATCATGGGATCAAAAGGACCTTTAAAACTAATTTTTAGTTGTGAAGAATATTAATATTAATAAATCATAAGCTTGATAGAAATGTATGAATATTACATAATACTACAACATACTAAATCCAATTGATAAACATTAGTGTTGGAGTTACAGCCAGTTTAAATTTCAGTCAAGTATGTTTATAAGTAGTTAAGCACAAATCTAGCCATTTAATTTACTTTCCAAAATGACCAGCAAATCTGCTTATGTAATAAATCATCACTAAGTCCAAAGATAAACATGATCTCCAAAATAGTAACTTTACAGGAGAAGGCAAAATGTCCTTAACTTTTTTAATGTAAGTTAATGTAAAGAGATTTTATTCCAAGTAATTCTGGAGCATTTCTATTGGTCCATTCATCATGAAATATTCACAGCGTGTAAAATACAACTGCTGTGTTTTTATGATGTAAGAATAAATGGAGATACATAATTTTTTAGTTTTTTGTTTGTTTATTTTTGGTTTTTGGACAGTGACAACATGTAATGTTGATTGTAAAATAGCTTAAAATCTGAAAAACATTTACTACAACATTACATTAAAACACCCTGTGTGCACCTCTCGACTGTGAATTTATACAAAAATAAACGATTTTAGGTCAAAACTATCATAAACACTGTCTCAGACATCAGGCAGTGCATTCATAAACAGTTCATGTATTAAATTTCTGTGATGTAAAGGCTAAACTCTTCAGATGTCGGGTTCCTATCACCACCTCTGTGAAAAATTCTGACTCTGCAACCTGCGTTAACTTTTACATCGCTATGGATATTTTGGCCCACACTTCTTTGCAGAATTGTTTTAGTTAGGCTAAATTAAAGGGTTTTAGAGCATGAACTGCCCGTTTAAGGTCTTGCCACAGCATCTCAACGGGACTCAAGTCAGGACTTTGACTCATTTTGGTAGGCCGGCCACTCCTGGGAAGGTTCCTCACTGTTTCAAGTATTCTCCATTTGTGGATAATGGCTCTGACTGTGGTTCGCTGGAGTCCCAGAGCCTTAGCAATGACTTTGTAATAACACTTTCCAGACTGGTAGATTTCAGTGACTTTGTTTCCCATCTATATCTGAATCTTTTTAGAACGTGGCATCATGTGCTGCTTTTTGAGACCGTCTAGCCTGCTTCACATTGCCATTTAAGTGATGTTTAGATTCAACAGGTCTGGCAGTAATCATGGCTAGGTGTGGTTAGTGAAAATGAAACCAATAGTCAATTGAATTTGGTTAACTGGTTGATTTAGTAGCTAAGGGGGACATTTTGCCAGGTTGGGCTGAACATTATTTTTTCTTCATTTAAAGGTATCATCATTTAACAACAGATTTTTTTATTGGGTTACATTTGTCTAACATTAAAAATAATTTGATGATCTGAAACATACAAGTGTGACACATGCAAAAATAGAAGAAATTGGGAAGGGGCAAATACTTTTTCACAGCACTGTATAACACTGAAATGAATACAAATAAACACAAATACAGTAAAAATAATGCGTTGTTTGGCAGTGAAGTATTTATTATGTAGGTGAGATAAATATAGAAGGACAGTTTTTTTCTTGACCTCTCGCTGCACAGCCATCACATGGATTTGTTCAGTTCCATCAGCAGCACCTGCTTTAACTGAATGATGGGCTGATTAGATAAAATAGGTACTGGATGATGACTATAACTATTGGACTTCATCAAGGACAGGTTTAGAACATGGTTTAGCTAATACACATCAAATCACAGTGCATTTTATATTTGTTTATTTGCATTGATTCTAATGTTAGTGTTTCAGGAATAAATAAACATTTACCGCCTAGATAAATAACATACTGTAGCGACCAGCTACCTGCTGGCATTGGCTACAATGAGCTTGGAAGGCATGGCGACGCGAGCACGAGCAGCCATAGGCAAGGGCTCATGGTAGGCATGCACACTCATGAAAAAGGGACATTTTGTGTTGTTTAATGTTGTTTGTTGTTAGTTAAAGTTATGCGTATGTGTTAGTTGTGTTATTCTGCACTGGGATTTGGGTTGTGTGGGTTTTGTGGCAGGGGGGTCACCATCAGTGTGTGTGGTCAGTGGTGACCTCCTCTGGGGTTTCTGTGTTCCTTAAGTACTATGTAATTTCTCTAATCATTTAAAAATAAAACTTTAATCAGCCTGAGCAGAAACTACAAATGTAAGAAAAGTGTTCTGGTTTCTGTTTGTATATCAGTTGTAAGATGGACAGGCTGGGAAGCAGAACCTGAGCTGTTCTTGTAAGTGAATGTGACTCAACGCTATAGGTCTGACATTTTACACAGTGCTGTAAAACTGAAAGCATACAAAAAAAGGAACTTTCACTAGTACTGATCCAAGATGAACCAAGATTACTTCACATGTAATATTCTGCTTTCGTTAATTGTCAAATGAGTCTTTAGACATACTGGAAATCAGGCCTGGGCAATATGAGACATAACGGATAAAATGCAATCAAACGGTGTTTCCATATTGCCACAACACAATTCAAGCACTATATAAGGAGGAGGGCAACTCAAATGAACTCACTTACGGTATAGCAGAGGCTGAAACTGTAAACACCGAAGAGAAGATGAAGTCTGCTGCGTTTTCACTTTTTCTGTTGTTTCTGGGGTAAGGACTTATTTTCATTTAGATACAGTTTTTTTATTCAAACTAATGTTTATTATTATATTATTATTTCTTAATGTGTTTTACTTAAGCTTAATCATTATAATTTTTTATCTGTAAATATATCATAAGACATATTCCATCCCAGATTTAGAATGAATAATTGTTATTTATAAACTTGGTTTATGTAGAAGATTCACTAATATTATCAGCTACAAGTTACATATGCTATTATTATTCATATGGGCACTGGGGACCTCTATTTGATTCATGCAGCCATGCAAAATTTTTTAAATGTGCTCCAAATAGTCTCCTAATTAAATTATTACACTGCTTCTGCAGGTTCTAAATCACATCTCAAATACTGAGTTTAACTGAGAAGAGAATGACTGAATGAGCATAAATATCATCAAGAGAATAACAATTATAATATAATTATAATAATACAATTATAATATTTTTTTCTTCTTTTAATCTTTTAGTCAGTTTTCAAGAAAAAATAAGAGGTTTTAAAATAATAGGTTTTATGTAGCTTTCCTAGTATTTATAGTAATAGATAATAGTATTTCAGTGAAACATATGACTGGGCATTTCTGCATGCAATATTTGAAGGCACACCACTCTGAAATGGCCTCACAACAAAAAAATCCATTTTAGGGACCTATTGGACTTTATATGTTCTAATTTTTTTCTCAAATTATTTCTTTAAAACTTCCTCCTGAATAAGGACAGTATTGTGTTATTAACATATTAAAATACAGATGTGTCATGACTCCTTCATAGTTTAATATTTTTGAATCCACATAAATTAGTAGTAAAACAGTAAAGAGAAAAGCACTGGATTTCCTTTTTTTCAGCAATGCCACAGGAAGTCTTTATCTTTTTTGAGAGGTCATATATACTTTACTCTCTACATCTATAATCTATTTATTTATGGTAGGGAACATATTGTGCACAGAATATCTTGCACTCGTGCAGATGTGCCCAACAAATATCCTGTCCTACTGGTCATCAAGCTAAATTAAAGGAAAAAAGGCAAATGTCCCGCAGCATTATTAAGGTTAATTTGAAAATCTTTTCATTTTAAATTTATTGCATTACTATTTCTTTGTATGGTGATTGTGTTCAAATACCTCATGTTCAGAAATGAGTAAAACATGAAGATGTCATTGAATGTTTAAGAAAAAAAAGTCTAAACAAAATAAAAAAGTCCTTTTTTAAAAAAAAAAAAAGTTGTGCTACTATTTCAAACTATTTGAAAATGTTCTTTAATGTCTTAAAAAGCACAGCTTAAAGCAGCAATGCCCACATTTTCATGTATGTCAAAAAACATTGCAATTCATTTACACCTGACCATTTTCTGACCTCTTTTTATTAAACAAGCTGTTTCTGTTACTTCTGTTACTGATATATGTAAGTGACCTCTTTTCTCAATGGCAGCCTTGTATTGTGTCATCAAAACTGGCTGTTCTTGCAGCTGAGTTTCCATATATGGACTGTTTGGCTTAAATTGTTTTCATATATAGATGTATGGACTACATAGTTTCCATACATGGATGTATGGACTATATGGTTTCCATAAATGGACTGTATAGACTTTGTAGTTTCCATATATGGACTATTGACTATATAGTTTCCATATATGGCCTGTATGGACAGCGTGGACTATATAGTTTCCATATATGGACTGTGTAGACTTTGTATTCTCCATATATGGACTATATAGTCTGTATGGACTATATAGTTTCCATATATGGCCTGTATGCTCTGTATGGACTATATCATTTCCATATAGGGACTGTATAGACTAGGGAGTAAATGGTACATGTTAAAACTTTAACAATGTTTACATACTACATCAAACTCTCATTTAAAATTGGTGAGGAAAATCTGTTTTTCCATGATAAGGGCCCTTAAAATCCCAGGTTTATTACATACTAAGGCTGATTATTCAGTAATTACAGGGACTTCAATGCAAACTGGCTGAGCTATTCTTAGGATATAGAAGTGTGTAAAAAAAACTTGGGCTCGCCAGTGGGCCCTGGCCATTTAAGGAGTTAAAATAAATCAAGCTGTCATGGAAATTTTTAGACCCTGATGGGGCAAAAATGAACAATTCATAACTAAAATGCTCATGATAGCACTGTTTTGAAATTATGCAAGGCTGCATGTTTTAAATAAATGTTTTTGCATTCTTGTTTTCATGTTGTGACCTACCCAGCCCAAGGTGATTTGGTGTAAAATAATAACATACAATGTATGTATGCATTTAATTTATGATAGATTTATGAAACATCAACTGTTCATGCATATTACTTTAAAATGCTGATTTTCTTGCTCTTGCATCACAGTAGCTGCAGTTTGGCATCCAAGCAACAGATGGATGTCTACGAATATCTCTGGAATAACAACATAGACATTGCCAACAACACGCTTAATGTTGACTTCCTGAGGCAAATGAAAAGCGGCAGCCTACAGGCAGAGCGTTATGTCAACTTCACCCTGCAGGACATCAACTACCTTCTGAAGGTGACGGAGATGCTGAAGGAGATGAGCAAGAAGGTCACTAAGCCAGAAGACCTAAAGGCTTTCATGACAGATAGATACAATAAATACAATAGCTTTGCAGCCTCATTTCTCAGTCAGTATTTGCTAAAGGTAAGAGCCATGACATAGCGGTAGTATAAATAATATGTAAAGTCTATGGGTGATGTCTATTTTTTCTTAACCACATTTCACATGATGTTTTTGACTACAGGGTGAACCTCCCATCAAACCCACACCTGCCATGAAGAAGTATCTGTCTGACTACAGAGCGGTGATGAAGCCGAATGATGGTATCTACTTTGCTGTAGCTCTGCTGCCCTGCTCCAGACTCTGGGTCTGGCTAGCTAATAATTTGAATATACCCAATACCAATGCCTACTACTCGTGGAAAGCAGAAAATATGAATGGTCACCCTGAGAAGCACTATAAAGCCCTGCTGAACAAACACCTAAACACAACGCAGAAAGTGCAGAAGGCCAACGCCATCTTCCGCATGCAAATGCAAAATGAGCATGACTTCTTTGCCACTTCTTGAGCTAATCATCTTTTTTCCTTCAACAAGTCTGTCTTATATGAAAATGTACTTTTGAAAAGCCATTAGCCAACAAAAGTTTCACTTACAAATTTCCTAACTCATTACTTTGTATGTTTCAAATAAATAAATAAATAACAATGATTATAAATACATTTTCATGTTTTAATAAAGTATCCCTCAAACAACGAACACATGAAAACCAAATGTTGTAGCGTACTTTCAATATTACATTACAGTTCCATGTCTTTTTCAGAGCACACTCTGTATAGTGCCTATTTCGTTTCAGAGTAACTGAGGTCAATACATCTAAACCCTTAAAAGAAATGAATGAACAATCATCACATCCTCTAATGTGTATTCAATTCAATTACTTTTTCATCTTTTTCTGGACATTGTACACCTACCCATCATTATACTAAGCGCCCATACACTGACAAATAAACAAAAAAACACCAAACAAATAAATAAGTATTTAACAAACATTAAATGTTGGGTTGAACATTTCTGCACACTTATAGAGAGTCACAAACAAGATGCAAAACCTGAATGTTTCAAATAGCTGTTTATTGTCTTTAATACTTGATGACAACTGTCAGTTATTAGTCACTGCTTTATGTAAATATTTTCAGTATTTTATTTATTATTATTCAAAACCACTTAGTACAACACAGATGTCAGGTTATAGTGTGTAGCTACAAGATTGATATAAGGTTGATATAAGGCTTTGATTTAAAAGTAAAAACAGCAACCAGTCGAATAGATTGTATGAATAAAGTAACTAATCTGAAGGATGGTGGATCTGAGCATCCAGATACTGCACAGAATGCAACCAGCCAATCAGCATGCATGGCTCAATTAGCCAGTCACAACACTGGATGCAACTAGCCAGCTGGAGCACAAGACTCTGGGTTCAACTAGTCAGAGTGCAGAGTAATCATTCACAACATAGAACACAACTAGCCAATCAGAGTGCACAGATCCAAGTAGCCAGTCAGACCTTTAAGGTGAATCCTGACAAAATGTCTGTCAGATAGCTATGAAAGATCAGATCACATTCCTACGGTTATATGAGAAAGAGGCCTGTTCTTCTTGAATCTGTTTAATTTCAAAATATCATCAATGAGTGTGCTTTTACTCAATTTTACATATATCATTATAAAAGATGCAAATAAGCACAAACACAGTAAAATTAACATGATTTTTTTATTTTAAAAATGTGATACCTTGTGAGCTAGTTTGAAAAACAAAGTTTGGTTGGATATTTCTCCTGGACATTCCCAGCCATTGCATGAATTTATTAAAGTCCATTAGCAGCACCCTTGATCTGATATAATAAAGTACTGATTAGCCAAACCAGGTACTGAATAGTAATAGTGGGCGTCCTCGAAGAGAGCGAATACAGTAACATGCATGAAGTTACTGCTTACTGTATTGATATTTTTTGCATTTATTCTAATACAAATAAATGTTTACTGCACAGATAAATAGCTTTTCAAATCTAATTTTGCCATTTACCTAAAAAAAACTATTGGTAATATACTAGTATAGTACATACTATTACTGTATTATATACTATTACTACTGTATTATAAACATACTGACATACTTTATGTGCACAGTTCTTTCCAAACATATTTTGAGGTGCTTTGCTTACTCTCACCTTACAGTTGCTGCTATTTGGCATCCAAGTGTGTGGTGGACGCGCACTGCTTGCAAATACATATTCAGAACTCAGAGACATACAATCATAATAATGAAGATGTTCAATGCTGCACGTAAAAGGAGAAACAACAATCACAAATACTTCTTTAGAAAAATTAGAAATACTGGCACATACATGGTAAAAGTGCCAAAAATGTAATTAACAGTGTCCTTTCCACAGAAAAACACTGTCAAAGAAAAGATGCAACTCTTGTTCCAAATGCAGTTCTTGTTGCAACTGTTGTTGTGCATTTTCAATACACAAAACAAATACATTTTCAAGCCATCCTTCGTGTTTGTGTTTGTTGCTATGCTGGCTCAATTTACTACATTTATATGTCAATGTTGTGAAGTGCATCACGTGCAAACCCTTTTTAGCGTCATATAGAGAACTTTCTGAAAAATATCCTAATATTTCTGCCCTGCTCAGGATCTGAAAATATTCTACATTATATAAAAGCATTATAAATATTGCCAAACTTTTCAACTTGTAGTTTGAATTACTAATTTTTGTAAAGGTTATACAATGCTATTCTATAGGCCTATCAATTATTAATGCCATTATGTCTCACTCCATGGTCAAACCGCAGAATACACTTATGAGTAACTACTACAGGTATCTGATATTAATGTTAATTTGTTCTGTTAGTTGCATTAAATAGTAATCAGAATTGCTGTTGATTTTTATAACTGAAATATTGGTAATGAGTTCTAACTTAAGTTAATAACATTTAGACAAGCTTAAGGTTTGCTATTGCATGAGAGCAGATCAGAGTAGGTTACATAATAAAAGCTCATAAGACATAACAGACATTTTGTGATGGAAAAAGAGTTGGAGATGACCTGTGATGTTAAACAACCTCTTATCGGGTTATGTGCTGTGTAATATAGGCCAAGTGTCAGGCTCTGTGTCTGTCACGTACTTTTGACCCAGTTACATAAAGGCTGATAAAAACAGGTGGTCCAAGCACCATAACGCACAAGTGCAGTTCGACAGTTTCGACAGAGCCCTGACTTTCAAGAAGAAAACCTGTTTTTCTTTGCTTGTCATTACTTTTCTTTGGACTGAGTAAGATGTCTCGACGAGCGGCGGACAGACTGAAAGTTGTCCTGAATCATCTGGACCGGTCCAGCTCCGCTGTTGTATCCTTTCGCAGTTAGCATGTTAGCTAGCGTAGCTGTTGCAGCCGTGTTTACCCACATTTCGGTACGTGCTGCGGGGTCTAAGTTCCACGACAGTCCGAGGCTGTGAGAGGCCTGTTAGGCAAGAAAAGGTGGACAGTTTCATATTTACACGCCACTATTTCATTATTAGTCGTAATGAAAGGGGTCGATACTCTCACCAACTTATTCACAGCAGCTGCAAATGTTCATTATTACAGTATTTTTTCCTTAAATATTTCTAATAAAGCGCTCGTCCTTCACCTCAGCACAGACAGTGTCATATCATCATCCTCGTTCACTTCGGTAAGTGCAAATCTTTCTTAAGTCAGATAAAATGATTGCTCATATTATTCATTGTCCTGAATGAGTCACATGTGACCTAATGACTGTGATATTAAATATGGCTACCTGTTTGCAGGTACACCTTGGACACAGATGTTCTGAGTCCAGAACAGAGAATTGCTTATGAAGAAAATGGATTTATTCTCATCAAAAACCTGGTTTCAGAAGAAGACATAGATCGGTTTAGGCAAGTACATCACCCCACAAACGTGTTGCATAAGATTACCAAACCAGCTTTTATGTAGGTTCAGCTTTCTACATGGTGGAATATTTTAATAGATTAGTTTGAAATATGGCTGAGGTCAGTAAAAGCTGAGGTCCCACTACAGTCAGCAATAGGACAAATACATGAGATTTGAAACCTGGCTTTCAATCCAGGTTTTTTGGAAATACACAGGCTTTTGCAGTGAATTGTGTTTGAGGAGTTTGTCCCACATAAGAGATCACAAAACACAAGGTGGCAGCATTTTCCCTTCCCCTGCTCTCTGATACACACCTACCTGGTTCTTCATTCACAACTCACCTCAGAGCTGCAAGAGATGATCTAGAATCAGCTTTTTGACCACAGCTGTCATAATATAAGAGCAATCTGATCTGAGGTCAGTCCTTCTAATTCTGAATACCAGCACCAATCTGTAACAGAATTGTGCTCTATGAATAACTTGGATCGTGTTTGTGTGTCCCTGCAGAGCAGAGTTTGAGCGTATCTGCAAAGGAGACGTGAAGGTTCCTGGCTTGGTGGTGATGAAAGATGTGGCCATTGCTAAGACTGAGTTTGTTCAGGATCAAAAGGCTGTGTCTAAACTGCAGGACTTCCAGGAGGACCCAGAGCTGCTCCGCTATTGTGCCTTGCCCCAGGTCCATTCTCATGCACATATGCACACACAAACAGGCAGTTGTAAAATGGCATTCTTTAAGATTGGAAATAAGGCCCCATAGTTTCGATAATAAAACTCAGCATGCTGAGACAGGTCTGCAAAGCTATGCATGAGCATTATGGAGAAATGTAGTAATGCAAGATGTTCTGACTGTGCTTGTGACAGATTCTGAAGTATGTGGAGTGTTTCACTGGTCCCAACATCATGGCTATGCACACCATGCTCATCAACAAACCCCCTGACGCAGGTACATGCGCACACATACACCTAAAACTTACCTTGAGCGTCTGAAGTACACTGTACACAGTTGTAATCACCAGGGATGGACATGGTTATTTGGATATATGAATACTTTAACTACTCTTGGTAGGGTGTGGACGAGTCAAACTTTAGTTTAGTCAATTCTGACAGGTGTGAACACTTTACTCATACTCAGGTGCACACTATTTTTTTTATTTTATTTCACCTTTATTGAACCAGGGTAATCACATTGAGATTAAAAATCTCTAACCAAATTAAGAAATTAACTGTGATCTGACAAAAATCACGGGTCTGGGTCCACTTCCATGTGAACCCTGGGTTAATTTGCTGCTGGTGGAACCACATTTTTACAGTGGTCTGGACTAAACAAGAAATTTCAACATCAGAGCATGCTTTTCTTCGCCTGTTTTAACGTCTAAATCTCTTGTTATTCTAATTTGTTAAGCGTCTCTGTTTTAATACAAAGCAGGGGCAAGATAATACATTTATATCAAGAATAGACCTGGAGTGAGAGTTAAAGGCTGCTGAGATAAACAGTTTTAAATAATGCGCTTAGATGCCTGAGACTTTTGGATAGCGCTTTAGATACTCTATAACAGCGTGAACTTTTTGGAATATTTGAATACTATTAATTTAAAAATATAGATATTCAAATAGCATAAAGATTAAAATGCTCATCCTTAGTAATCACACAGAAACTGTTTGAAGATATATTGTGTCTCAGGTAAGAAGACATCTCGCCACCCCATGCACCAGGACTTGCACTACTTCCCTTTCCGGCCAGCTGACCGCATCGTGTGTGCCTGGACTGCTATGGAGAAGGTGAATCGGCAGAACGGCTGCCTGGTGGTGCTACCCGGAACCCACAAAAGTACCTTGCAGGAACACGACTATCCAGACTGGGAGGTGAGAGGACAGAAGGAGGTTTGAGAGAAGCAGAACCAAAACAGTTGTGTGAATAACCATAATGTGTGTGAATGCTGCAGTACCTCCTGAATCATAGTGGTGCTCTGTTTGTTCTTAACTCCACTTAGGGTGGGGTGAACAAGATGTACCACGGTATTCGCAACTACGACCCCAGCCACCTCAGATTGCATGTAGAGATGGAGAAAGGAGACACACTATTTTTCCACCCTTTGCTCATCCATGGGTCAGGAATGAACCAAACACAGGGATTCCGGAAGGTAAGGACTGATTTGGTCATGCACTAAACAAAACTAATGTTACTGTCGCAACAAAACCTTGTATCACCAGAATGGCAACAAATGGAAGGAAAAATGTTCTTAACTTTAAATGGAATTTTGAAGCGTTTCTGTTCCTCCACTCTTCATGAAATTTGAACACAGTGTGAACAGCAGCTGACATTTTAAAATTATTAATTTCTTTTTTAATTTTTAGTATGCTTTTTTTTTCCAGACAGGAGGCAAGTCTTTAATTAACTGGATTAGAGATGTCCAGATGGTGATCTGAAAGATTGATGGAGATGATCGATACATTGATCAAATTCTGATTCTTCTGGCTATTTTACCCCATTTTACCACTGTTGTAGACAAAAAACGGACATGATGAAATCTGTCCGTTCAGTTCCCACTACTTGACTTGCAGTTAACTGAAGGGATGAGGTTGATTTCATTTAGGTGGTGATCTGTCTGTGGGTGCTACACTTCTACAAATGAGACATGTAACACATGTAACATGTCGTTTGTCCAGGCCATCTCCTGTCACTATGCCAGTGCTGACTGTTATTACATCGATGTGACTGGAACTTCCCAAGAAAATATCAGTAAGGAGGTGAAGGACCTTGCTACCAAAAAATATGGAACAGATATATCTGTTTCCTTTGAGGTATGTTTAGGCCGCTCTTAACATGGTGTGCATTTAGATGAGACAGTTATTGTGCAGTGTGTTGTCATGGGTTATTTGTGCAGTATTGGAGTATTCTCACCTTACATGCATGTATGTGTGTGTTTGTGTGTGCTTAATTTCCACAGGAAACGTGGGCTTTGAGGGGGCGCCTTGTGCACGGAGAGAGGACATCACTGTGACCCTTTTTTCTTGCTCAGAAACACACAGTTACAAAAGTGATTGATAGTTATCAGCAAAGCAATAGTGTTGTCTTTGATGTGTACGTTTAAAAGCAAAGGGAGGTTAATGCAGGTGGGAAAACACAGCAAATTGCCATTGACAAATGTAATTTTTTTTATAACCCTTATTCTGTGCGATAGCTATCATAAAATAACTATAGTTCAGTCTGAATGCAGTTTCTACTAGGACTGCGGCATTTAGTCCACAAAAATTACTACATTGTAAAAAAAATTCAGTTCAGTGTGCCAAGCACAATACAGAAAAACAGAGGTAGCGCAAAAGCTCCAAATAGTGGTGGAAAAGCATTATATATTAAAGCATTACATATTAAAGCATTACATATTAAATTTGCTTTAGGATGCTTTTGAGACAATAAATTTAAACACTTAAAATCTATAGAAAATACACATATCACAAAAAATATTGGATATAAAATATCCAGCTTTTGAATCAGCAATAATTTCAATTGAGAATTTAATTTATAAATTGAATTCTCTAATTTCTAGTGCCATTATTTAAAATTTATTTCTCACCGAAACTGAAGCAATCTTTAGTCAATTAACTGAAAAATAATCGATAGATTAATCAATCCTAAAAGAAACCATTGGTTGCAACCCGAGTTTCTACCACATTTTCAATACTGGTTGTTATGGCATAGTCTAGAATGATACAATAATGACATGCACAACATTCCATATAGAACAGATAAGACCCCAGTTAGAACAGGTGGGCAGTTTTGGGATATAAACAGTAAGTGTTATTCAGTCATCCTTTACTGAACTGGCAGGGTAGCTCACAAGTGTGTGACGTCAGAATCAAGCTGCTTATTTCAACATTTTTTATGTGATCATTGGCATGTAAAATGGAGCAGTAATGCTTTTTTTAAAGGAACTCTCTGGAATCAGAATGGAATGGGGTTTATGCTCACGTCTACATTGACCTTTAAGTGCAGGCCTTTTGAGGAGTTCAGTTAATTTTTCCCTCACCCAGGGTTGCCTTCACATTGTAAATGCTGCTATTTGTAAAAATATCAGTATTCGCACTAAAAATGTCTTTAATCTGAATGATTGTAATAATTATTAAGTTAAGTTAATTACTAAGTTAATTATTAAGTTAAGTAAGTCTTGTTATTTTGCTAAAATAAATACATTTTGGACACTAAATATTGCATTCCATTGAATACAACCATGAAAGCTTTTGTGCAGTACATTATTTTGCAGCCATCTTTGCCTTATAAGGAGGCTTTGTGCACTAAAAAGCAACGCAAGCAACTAACACATCAATGCTGTTTTATAATTTTTTTTATTTAACTAAATAGGAGCAGGATATATTTGCATTTTAAGAACAGGCACCTTTTACATTCACAAACATGATGTGCCTTTAATTTAAGTCTTATTAGTTTAAGTGAAAGATGTAAGATAAGGACTCTTAAGTCTGGTCATTATGCTATTTCAGGGCTTTTCATAGGACGTACTCACTCAATCTGACCAATGATATCATCTACATCAGCACAACAACTACTAACCACCTTCCAGACTGGCAGAGAAGGAGAAAAACTGTAAAGAGTGTTTGTGAATACGGTATTGTGTTCATTTGGCAACTCACTTACTTAGCGTTTGCTCACACTGAGTGGACTGAGTGCAAACAGGACACATACACAGCAGCATGTAAACAGCACTGATGAGGTGATTTGTTCTCCTGAAGCCCACTGATGCCAGGAGTGTCTAAACATTTTGGAGGCCTCTGTCCACCCCAATCAAGAATGAACAGTTCATTGTAGTCAGGAAAAACAAGCTATGTTAAATATATTAAACCAACATTTGTTTGATGTTAAATAGTGGATTGTGGACCTCTCTGATTTCTTTATGCAGTCTACAACACAAATATAGCCATTGCTATCCAAACTGACCAGTGAACCTACGTGTTTGTATATACAAGTTATTTGTTTGTAATGTTGATAATAGTTAAATAGACGTAAATCTGAAAAAAATAGCACTATTTTGCATTACGATGCCCTGCATGTACTTCTCCACCATGAATTAAAAAATTATATTTTAGGCCAAAAGCTAATTTCTAAACTATCATAAAACAATGTCGTAGGCATCAGGTAGGAAATGTATAACCCTTACTTGTGGTAGCTTATTTTGAAAGATCTTTTAGAGGCCTGTTTCAGACATCTGGCTCCTATCACTACCGCTGTGAACAATTCTGACTCTGACTCTACGTTTTGCATCAAACCACTTTGAATGACTTCATTTTATCCATTTATTGATGCACACATTTAGTAAAATCAGTGGAATTCCCCTTTAAAGGGACCCTATCTTACATTTTCCTTGTACTTTATTTTTTTCCCTAAGGTCTATTTGTGTGGGTTTATGTATATGTATCAAAATCATAATTTATTTTTTCAATGACCATTTTCCAACCTTTCTTTCTCACTTAGAATTAAACATACTTATATATGTAAACTAATTCTGTTCTGATACAAAAAGTAGGCTGGACACCTTATAACTTTAATGTGAATAGGCAGGATTATGTAAATACACATGAAAACTATGAATTCAAAACAAGCTAGTTTGTATATATGGGACTGTGCAAACTGGGAGATGAATTATGCATTTTGGAAATTTAATAATGTCCATATACTACATCAAAGCACTACATTTAATATAAAAAGTGAAATACTATGGACCCTTTAAGTACACTCTTAGAAAAGATGGTGCTTCAGTGGTTCTTTAGTGAAGATGGTTCTATGCAGAACCATGAAAAAAAAAACCCTTTGCATGATTAACGTAAATAAATAATAATAATAATTACATATTCACAGGGCCCCTTGTGGTGTGGGGGCCCAAAGCATCTGCTTATACTGATTATAGCAAAATAAATGACCTTGACTGGTGCTATAGTGCAGGAACTGTTGAGGGCTAGAACAGAGGAAAGAGGGCTGTTGTAGAGAAAAGGAAGAAGTCTGAGAAAGCCATCTTTCTCTGGGAGTAATATTTCACAAACTGTGTTTTTGGACTACAAGCAGTGTTTGTATGTGTGTGTTTGGGGTTGGAGGAGCCTGGGGTCACTGCTGTTTCCTAGACAGTCTACCTCATGCGGACTACAAACCAAAGAAAACATCTGATGGCTTTTAGACATGAAAGACCCCATTAATCCAGCAAGGCACAAAACACTTTCTGTGGCTGAGGCCTGCACCACAGTGCAGTATGACCCAAGGGAGGGATTTTAAGGGCACATTATGAATACAATAGGCCATAGAAGCCTTTCCCTTTCATGCCGGTTGGAGGACAGGTATTCCAGAATCTGCACCAGGAATGTATAAAGAAATATGAAGATAATGCACCGTAGATACCTTGATAGCTCAGATTAACCATCTTTGTCCTCAGTGACCCAATATGTGGTCTCTGCTCTTTACCATATCGTAAGCCATACAGTTAGAGCTTCAAATCATATCTCATGAGATTCTGATTGGTTCTATAGCCTATAAATTTCTCTGTGAATCTGAAGGGAACGGGATACAGGCTTGTGCAAAAGTTTGGGCACCCCCAGTCAAATGACACTCTGTTGATTTTCTAATTGCAAATAAGTTCTGTCTTCTACAGAGAACAAACTTAAATCTGACATTTATACTAACCTCTGCACAGGCCACACTTCCACTAAATTCAGCAAATAAACAGTAAGAGTGCATTAAAAATGCAGACGTGTTCACTGTAGAAAACGTGTTTCACTAAGAAAATCAATAAAACATGAGTGCCAAAAGTTTTGCCTAAGACTGTTGCTTCAGCTTTAGAGCAAATGAACAGACAACAACAACATTCTACATTACAGAGCATTCGGCACTGCTTATTTTTCTACCTTTTTTTTTAAATTAATGAGACATAAAAGGATTGCAACAATGCTTATTTTGTTAGTTAATAGAGCTCACTGACATGAATTAACATCGTGCAGGATGTCTCCCTTGGGGGAAAATCCACAAATTGATTGTAGCTTTCAGAAATACGGCCAGTCTCGAAGTACATTCTGTCCTTTTGAATCAGTCTCCCAAGATTTATTCTCTCCCGTCCTGTTTTCTATCTTAATATTTCTCACTTCTTGACTGAACATCTGTTCACATTGTGAAAACAGAGCATGGAAACAATGTTAAAAGCATATAAATGACTGTAATAATATATGTGTACATATAACCTGATATATATGTGATGCCACATACAGATGTGCACACACATAACCACACTCAGCCTGAATCTCAGATGGCTCCCTGCACCCTATGTAGTGGCCTGAATAGGTGGTGAAATAACGACTTCTACACCAAAATAGTGCAGTATTGGTCTTACAGAAAGCCATTTACATTCATCCAAAGCTGCACGACTCCCTGCCTAACATTAGTGCACCATTTAGGTCTAAAAGCCATGGTTTAATCACCTGTGGAGTGCACTATGTAGTGAGTAGGGAGCCATTTGAGATTCAGCCACTGTCCTTGGCTCTGGGGCAGGAAAATACTTTCCGTCTCTCAGAGTCTGGGTGCCTCACATGCTGTAAAATGAGTACAAAGAGAGTGTGAATGCCGCCATGTGAGTTATCCCCCTAGACACATACTCATAGGCATAAGATGGAGGCCAGTTTTAAATCTAGAAGTTGTCATGGATTTAATCACATTATATTATGGCCACTTAAGCAGATGAAAGCTTTTCTAAGAAACTAGAAAACGTTCTCAAATGCTCTTCATTGTTTTCTTCCTTCATTGTTTGTGTCATATAGCCTGTAAATATGTTTCATTTTACAGTTTAGCAGAAACAACATCGTAACAAACTTTCTTAAAGAATATCAATTATTTTTAGGATTATTCGTAAGAGACAAAAAAAAAGAAATGTATAGAGTATTTGAGACCTTTTGAGGACAAACAATTTATCTTGACTTTTTTTCTTCAGTATGAAGTTAAAAAACATTTAAGATTTTCTTTCTAAAGATACATTTGTAAATGCTAGTAAACACTTACTTTATTTTTTGATAAAAATCAATAAATAAAATAGCAAACATGTCCAAAAGTTTGGACACCCTGAAAGGTAGTATTTAGTAACACCCCAACTGGCAGATGTCACAGCTTGCAAACCTTTTTGTGGCCATTAATTAGTCTTTCTGTTTTCTTTTAGGAATTTTCACCCTCTCTTCCTTGCAGAACGCTTCTAGTTCTGCAATATCCTTGGGCTGTTTTGCATACACAGCCTGTTTAAGATCTACTCACAGATATTTAGTGATGTTCAACTCAGGTGACTCAGAGTCTGAAAAGGTTCTGAAAGGTTCAGCTTGCATTTCTTGAAGTAGTTCATGGTAGATTTTGAGGTATGTTTAGGATCATTATCATGTTGTAGAAGCCAGTTTCTTTTCAGCTTCAATTTCTTGACTGTGTCACATTTGCTTTTGGTGATTGTGGCAAGAGAGTTCCATTTTTTACAAGTTCATAGCACTTGTTTCCAGAATGCTTCCAGCTTATCTAGATGTTGTTTTGCACATTCCAGACATTGACTTCTGTGATAAGGTTGCATATAAGGTGTCCTTCTGATGACTCTTCTATGCAGATCATGTTTGTGCAAGCAACACTGCAAACAACACCCCTGAATCAGCTAAACCATCCTGCGAGTTCCTTGCTGTCATATGGGGGTTTTGCTTTGCCTTTCTTTGCAACATATGAAAGATTCTATCTGAGAGTTTTTTTGATCTTCCAGATCTTGTCTTAACTTCCACAGTTCCCCTCAAGTGCCCTTTCTTTGTGATGGAAATTGTGAGCTGAAAGTGTTTTGATATCTTTTTATTGCCTTCTCCTGCTTTGTAGGCAGATGTATTGTTTCTTCAGATGTACTACTTTACTACTACTACTATTTACTACTTCACATATGAAAACCCTGGATATGTGCAGGGTTACTGGTTGTTTGGATTGCAATTAATGTCTGTATTTAAGTTGCAGGCAACGGGTTCCTAACCTTTTGCAATTTGCAGCCCACACAAGTGACAATTAAAGCTTTCGTGGCTGACAAGAAGATTTAACCAGCATGATTGTTTCAAGTGCAAGTGAATATAACACAATAATCAGTGTAGTCTATTGAATTTCATTTGACTGTATAATCACACAACACAATAAATATCAAAACATCCTAAAACATTTTGCTTGTGAGCATAAATTCCATACGATTAAAAAGAGATGCACAAACATATCTAGATAGCTATCTCAGTTACACAAGTCCATACCAACCACTGAGCTTGGAATATTTAGATATATTTAGTTTTGTTTTTACAAATATTATCACAGCAATAATATCTGTCACATTTAAAATTATTGGTTGTGTTAATTGTTTATATAATGTAATGAAAAAACCTAGTTCTTCAACCAATCAATAAAAAATAACTAAATAATAAGAATCAGTAAATTTCTCTACAATGAATTCATATCAAACCATTCCGAATTACTTTGTGTACATTTCAATAAATAAACTTTGCTGAAAATTTGAAAATTCTATGGAAGTACCCTTTGAAGCCTGTTTTATGAGTGGATTGTGGAAAAAGAAGCCTCAAGCTTTTCACTGTTTTTATAAATGCTTGTGTTTGAAACATATGACAACTTGAACTTAGCTTTATCTCTTCCACCTCTGTGGTATACGGTCAATAAATGCACTTACAAACACACCTACAATGGGCACCAGTGGGCAGCTGCTACTGTAAGTGTGTTTTGAATAAAGTACAGGCGAACGGTCTGAAATTATTGTCTGTGGTGATTGGCTGTTTGATACAGATGTGGCAGACGGAGAATAGGTTGAAAAACATTGGAGTAGTACTTAATGTACACTCCAGTTTTGCCTGTATTTCTAGAGAGCAATCCTAGAGGACAAAGTTTTGCAAAGGACAAAGATGATTCTTGCAATGACAACAATGGCATACAAGCCGTATTTCATCATCAAATGTAAATAGCATCAGACTCACAGTGTCATCTGTACGGGCTGATTGCCCAGCACTAATGGAATCTCTGATCTCAGTCTCATAAACGAGGGCACATGGGTGTGGCGTGCCGACAGGTGAAAGTGCCACTGTTAAATTCAGCAGTTAATCCTCTAGCAGATGAGTAGATACATGTGGAATGCATTTCACACACACACACACACAGACACACACACACACACACACACACACTTACACAGCTGATCTATTATCCATGAGAACTTCAACCTGTTGATGAGTCATCTAATTAAAACACAGTGAAAGATGCTAATACTGAACTATGACATTGAAGACGTTCATGCCTTGATGTCCTCCCGCCAAGTCAGTATCAGGAGGCCTTCATTTGCCTTTGTTTTGCTCTCTCTCTTCCACTCTCACTCCTTCTGTGTTCCCCAGGCCAGTGAAATTCCAGCTCGCCCCCTCCCTCCCTTCCTCCCTCTCTCCTCCTCCTCCTCCTTCTCTTTCTCTCACTCACCCACACTCATGCAGCCTCTGCCAGGTTCCAGACTGCTGTGGCTGTGCTACCTGTAGAATACACTCTCACACGGACACGCTGGCTGAACCATGGCTTGGGTGCGCATTGTTCTGCTGACCCTGCTGCCCACCATCCTTATCCTAACTGGTGAGTGCCTCGTTTGATGTGTATGAGAGTGCATGTGTGCAAGTGAAGATAAAGGACTTTTATGGCCCTATAGTTAATCATATTTTAGTTTTAGAAGTTGATTTATCACATTTAGGCACAATGCAAACAGAAATGTATCACATTTAGATTAACCTTTGACTTTAACGTGTAGATTGCCATAGAAAAGTGCGTATATCTACATTATCTGGAACCCTAATAGAACCCTAGGTAATATCTACTGTTTTGTCCAGAAAGGCTTAATTCTTAAGACTTATATTCAATATGTATATCTGGTACAGAAAAGTGCATTTTGGGAAGTATTTATGGAATGCTATTTTTTAAGTTATCTAGAACCCAAATGAAATGATATCTACTAATTTGTCCTCCAAAAAGGCTCAAATCTTATGACTGTTGCAAGTACAATGTTAATACTTGTTACAGAAAAGTGCACTAACTTTTGAAAATGTTTACGTAATACTTATTTTTAGTATCTAGAACACTAATAAGTTGATTATATATACTGTTTTGTTCTCCAAAAAGGCTGTAAACATAACACTATTATAATTACAATGTGTACAACTGGTGCAGGAAAGTGTGTTAACTTTTAATAATGTTGATATAATACTTTTTTTGTATCTAGAACTCCAATAAGATGATATCTACTGTGTTGTGTCCTCCAAAAAGGCTCAAAACTTAAGACATTTAATTTGTCACATTTAATTTGCATAACTGGTACAGAAAAATGCACTTTTGAAAATATTTATGCATGTATATTTTTTAATTATCTAGAACACTAATGAGGTGATATCTTCTATCTTCTATCTTGCTTACTCTCAAAAAAGGCTGAAAAACTAACAGTCATATTCAATCGCAATGTTTACACTTGCTACAGAAAAGTGCACTAACTTTTGAAAATGTTTATATAATACCCACTTTTAGGTATCTAGAACACTAATAAGGTGATTGTATGTATATTGTTTTGTCCTCCAAAAAAGGCTCAAAGACTGGCACAGAAAAGTGACAAACTTTTAAAAATGTTAATACTTATTTTTAGTATCTAGAACACTAAAGAGTTGATATTTACTATTTAGTACTCCGAAGAGGCTCAAAACGTAACACTATTACAATCACACTATGTACACTTGGCAGAGAAAAGTGCACTAACTTTTGAAGATGTTTATTAACAATTCATTTTTAGGTATCTAGAACTCCAATGAGGTGGTATCTACTGGTTTGTCCTCCAAAAAGGCTCAAATATAAGACTTTATTTGAAAGTGTACATCTGACACAGAAAAATGTACTAGCTTATGAAAATATTTCCACCTCTACTGTTTGTTTTTAAAAAGGCTCAAATCTAAGACTAATATTTGCAGCTGGAATGTTCAGCCACTCTCACTCTCTCTCTCTCACTCTCTCTCTCTCTAGTGCTGTCTGGGGTAGAAAGTGCAGCAGTGAAGGATGGAAAAGACAATGAACCTAAGGGTGAGTTCAACCTCCACTCATAATATCTCAAAGAAAAACTCTACATGGTCCGGCTGCTTCTCTAATCATTCCGTCCCGTAGGACCCTCTAAGCGGGTTTTCGTGCCAGCATCAGACGCCTCCAACTTTTTCAAGAGACGTGGCCGCAGATCCCCCAAAACATACGCTGAGTATTTTGGTAAGTTTCTCTGCCACCCAGCTTTTTCTAACAATAGCACCATGTGCTTCATCTCAGAGTCCAAGTGTCAGCGCCATCTTCAGAATGACAAGGCTTGTGTCAAACTCAGGCCTAACGTGTACTTTTCGGCATTAAACCTCACAGATCACATGTTGTTGGAGGAGCTGGCTCAGTTGGCCGCTCATAAAAGTATATGAATTGCATAAAGGTGCCAGAGCCTGCTGTCTTAAAGGGGCCATGTCAAAGTTTCAGGAAATAGTGTTCACACCCCAGTTCTTATATGGAAACTAAGTAACAAAAAAAGTTTTTGAATTCATCAGGGTTATGATGTGAACCACGAACATATCTCTGCTGTTACGCAAAAACATTGTGTCTCCATTTTTGTCATTTTTTACTTTTTTATTTTTGTTACATAATTTGAAAACTCCAGTTACCTTCTGCATTGTGTTATGGTTTGACAATGAACAGACAAATAGAAATGTTCCAAAATTACATTGAAAAAAATCATTAACTTCCCTTACAAGCTAGGAATGTTTTTCTCCTGTCTCCTGTAAAGTTACCATTTTGGAGATACAGGGTTTTGTTCACACAGCAACGATATAGAGCAGTTTAGCTTCAAACTAATTCAGTTTACATTGAAGCTATAAGGAGTGTTATAACTGCAGACAGTCTGTAGCACTGAGTTATTGAAGTAGAAGATGGGGGGGAAATAAACAAATCAACTGTGCTGTTCTTGGCTGTTCTTTTGCCACTGTTGGAAAAAAAGACCTTGTGACAGGAACTCTACAGGAGCTTGAATTTTTTTTTCCAGTTACTTTTGGAAAGAAATTTCTGTTCATCATGAAATTTTAACACAATATGAAGGGCAGCTGGTGTTTTCAAAATCTGTAAAAAACAAAAATTTAAAAAATACAAAAAATGGAGATACAGTTTGGTTCAGGGACAAAATATATTGTTGCATATTTACAAACAATCCACACATACACAACGAAGTCTGAAGTTCACTTTGTCTTGTCACCTGAGGATTTATGTCCAAACTTGTATGTTCCGTTCATCTTAGCTGGACTGCTTTTTGAACAAAAGAAAATGCAGTGCAGCCAATCTAATCAGAGGTGATTTATATATAACACTCTTAAAGGCACAGTAGCAAAAACAGGCTGTTTATTCTAAGGGATAAAGGGAGGTTAAAAAATAGCCCTATTCTAAAAATGACTTATTTTGGTTCAAAAATGTTTTAAGTGGAGGAGAGGAAGAAAGAAGATAAATGCAGATTATGTAATGTAGAGGCTCCTTTTACTATCAGTCAGTCTGAGCGCTGGAGATATGACTGGCACACAGCTCTGCAGTAGTGTGAGTGTTTGAGGCTGTGGGTTAGATATTTTCGACTGTGGGTTACGGTCAGGAAAGACAAAAAGGGCAGAAAACATAAAAACAGTAGAATGCTGGAGACGAACGCTTATGAGGATGGTCAGGCTTGCGGGGAGCCGCGTTCTCAGTAAGAAAGATGACGAGTACACACATGCACACACCCTCCAGTGTGCTATTATGGCGCCCATGTTTTTATGCCAGCGCAGGCACTAAGGCATGAAAAAGTTGGAGGAAAGTCTGTTTTGACTTTTTATCCAGCGTGTGTGAGGAGGTGCTGCTGCTGAAGAGCACAGGTTGGAGGAAAGAAAGCAGCTGAAGCTGAGAATGGAAAGGAAAAGCAGATACAGGTCTAAACTTAACCCTTCACTACAGAGAGAAAGACAAAACACAAGAGCACTTATGGTTGTCTTAGAAGAGCATCTGTTTTGTATAACTGATTAGCATCTGTGATGTGGGTGTTTTAGGTGATCACAGTCGAGGGAAACTAGGGCTGCATGATAAGGACAAAACATCACCTTTGCAATTACATTGCGACTTATTACAACTGTGAAGTGCCCTGCAGTATAAAGTTGCATGCAAACTTTTGAACACCTGGTAAAATTACATATTTTGTTGATTTTCCCATCCTTTGCAGAGAACAAACTTAAATGTAGTATTTTTTCTGCTAATTTTAGTGCACAATTTCTATTTATTTGGAAAAACTAAAACATACAATAAAAATTTAAAAAAATAACCAGTAACTGTGCATTAAATTGTGCAGAAGTGTGTTCTCTGTAAAGGATGTGTGCTTATTTTCACCTCAAAAAACATGTAATTGGCATGGTGGCATAGTGGGTAGCACTGTCACCTCGCAGCAAGAACGGCCTGGGTTAATTCGCCAGTCAGGCAAACAGGCCCCCCCCCCACCAATGTCAGGCCAACTGGGGATACTAGGTGTGACTGTGTGTTTACCCTGAGATGGACAGACAAGGTTGATTCCCGCCTTCCTCCCAATGAGCGCTGGGATAGGCCTCCCCCCAGTGACCCAGCAGGATAAGTGGTTTAGATAATGAATGAATGAAAAGTAATTTGACTAGGGGCACCCAAACTTTTGCATACGACTGTATTAAAAATGTCAAATGTGGCATGATTAAAGATTGCATTAATTTAACCAAAAATGAGTTTAGTTCAGCATACGTTAAAAAGAACTGTGATTGGTCAGAGGGCTTATTTATCTACTGCAGCCTCCTGTCACACCAGTAATAGGCTAATATCGCAATAACACTTAACAAACAGTGCTTTATTCAGCCCTAAAGGGAAAGTTTCTGGGTTCATGTTAGTCTTGGTGATCTCACTGAACTGCTTTCTTTATGCTGGCAACAGCTAAGAGGTTGTTAGTACTGGAATTTCTCCAGAGGCGAGCGATAACAATATGAGGCTCTGCCAAATGAGAGTTTACTATTCTTTTCAGGAGATTTGCTTTCAGTTTTTCAGAGAGATCTGCAGGAATAGTTTTCCACACTTCCAAAGCTCAGTCTTAGAAGTTGGTTGCATTTTTTGCATCTCAAGATCAAAGTAATCCCAAACACATGCATTGATGTTGAGGTTCATTGTTCTGAGAACACAAACAGCTTCTTTGTTTGATGTGCAAATTTTCTCCTTTTTTGTCTATTTCATTTTCTCAGTAAGAGCTTCTTGGCAGCTACACATCCTTTCAGACTCACAGTGCTGAGTTGTCTTCTCACAGTGGAAGGATGGACAGAAACACCTGTGTTTTTTCAGATCTGAAGCAAGAGTGGAGCTTGATTTTCTCCTCTCTCTCAAAGATGAATGAAGATTTTTCATTGACTGTACCTTTACTTTTCCAAATGGATTAACTTATCAAATCTCCTCAGAAATTTCTGCTGAAAAATGAATAACTTGTACTTATTGGCTGTTTAGCCTGGAAATGTAATAAATTAAGGATGGTGTCTGGCCTTTGCACAGTACTGTATATCAGTTTTTCCCTCATATGTTCAAAGCAGCAAGAGCACTTGCCACATTTTATATGATGATCTCTTATTTCCCCCCAGTTTCTGGGTGTGAGTGGTCAGAAACAAAACCCGATGTGTACTGGGCAGATAAGAAGCTGTAAAACCAAGTTAAATTAAGGCCAGTCTCTGCATGCTCTTGTGGAACTGATGGAGCTAATGCTTTCTTTCCCTGCAGCTGAGCAGAAAGTGCAGTTGGCAGCTTCGGAGCGCAGGAGGGAGTACTATGAGGAACAGAGCAGCGAGTATGAGAACCATGTGGAGGAAGCACGAGACGGTGAGATCTCTCTGATTAGTTTGGCTCATAGAGCTGAAACATCCCACAGGCTTCTAACAAGCCACTGCTGTCTGGAGGAGTAATGACTGAAAAACACTAAACTAAAAAAAATCAATCAGTGCACACCTGGAAGACTCACGAAATTACAGCCGTTTGCAGTGCCTGGTCTTGTTTGTTTTGAGAGACAGTACCGGTTAAAGGTTTAGACACATCTACTCAAAGTGAGGAGTAATTTTCTTGATTTTTCATTTTGTCCAAAAAAGGTTTTAGAGTAACAGAAGACATCGAAAGACATCAAAAGTTTATGAATTTAAACATGGAATTATACAATGATCTTACATAGGGGGTCTATAAGCATCCTCAAGCTTAATTTAATATTGTAAGACTTTTTAACGGCACTTACAATTTTAAGATCAAATTTGCAGTGACAATTATATATATATCTCAAATATAAAACCACTTTTAAAGGTAAAGTACACCCATATCAATGCTGCTATGTATGCTTACTCAACAGCAAGTTAGTTTAATGCACACACCCATTTTACGTGGCACCAAATGGTTTTTAAAGTCTAAGACTACATAAAATTTAAGACAATGTAATTTCAGAGAAGCTGTTTGATGAACCAGAAATCATAATGCATATTTCTTATGCCATGATGTTTTTGCAAGTGAAACATGGTGTCAGGGAGGGTGTCTGAACTAGCTGAGCTTTTCGCTCAGTGATAGGTGGGGGTTGTGGGAAGGGGGTTTGAAGATGATATTTTTGGTCAATACCCACACCCTGGAGACACAATTAAAAATTAGGGGACACTTTAATGACCAGAAAAAGTCATTACACATTTTTATAGATTGTAGGAAACATTATGTTATGGCAGGCTCAGATCATCCAGTGGGTTTTATATGCGTGCGCCCAGGGGCCCAAGCCACTAGGGGCCCCCACGAGCAATTATGAGAAAATCTAAACAGCTGTTTTGAATTGTGGTGGGAACTTTACTAACAGTAAAGCGGGAAAGATGAACTAACACCATGTCCTAACAGCAAGTGATGCAAACGAGAACAACAAAACCAAAACACTTCCATTATAATCAGTGGGGATGTCTACACCAGCTGCGGGCGGCAGTGTGTGATGTGGTGCAACGCACTCCCCGTTTCTGTTTTTGCTCTGCAATTTCATTTTAAAATGGATGAGAAAAAAGTCTTCCATGAAGTAGAGAAAAGAGGGATCTCTAAGACCCTTCCAGCACACACTTTTGGAGAGAAACAGCCAGAGTGCTGGAAGTTACAGTCGAATGCCTAACACCACAGTGGTATAATGCTATTTTATGTAATTTAGACTACTGGTGTTAGATGTGGGGATAAAACTCTAATAAATACGTGCCCCATTCACACAGCTGGAAAGCTCTGTCAGTAAAGCAGCCAACATTATCTTCTGAGAGGTTTGTGTTTTGTTTATGTTTTGAGGTTTCCGGTGTAGACATCCTGCAGGCCTTGGGGCGCGATGCGATTCTGCATTTGAACACTCACTTGCTGTTAGGACAATGAAATTCTGTGTTATGGCCAATCATAATCCTGACACACTCCACGTTTTTCCTAAATATCAGTTTATTTTTCTCCTCTATTCACTGCTTAGTAATCATTACACTGTCCTTCATTATCTCGCTCAAGCTTTCCGGTTTTGAGCATTGAGCTAGCGTTCCTGTGAATGTACTTTGAATATGAAGTGCCAGGTATTCAAAAGATGTGAGGGGTCTGTAAAAGTGAGACCTGAACCTTTGACAAAGTAGAAGAAGCTCATTTTGAAAGCCAAATATAAAATGTCAACCACACCAGTTAGAGTTGATTCATCCTTGTTGGCAGTAATGTTGCGTCATCAGAGGTGAGATATAAATGGGGGGAAAAATAAAAAAAACAACCTGCTGTGTCAGTATGCTTTAGCTAGACTGCTTGACCATTTGGGTTTTTAGGTTTGCTGCTTTTTTCCATCTTTATGTATATATTTATCTTGTCTTGCTGGGGGTTAATAATGCTTTGATTGTTGAACGGATGACATTTGTGCTCAGGGGCCCAGAACTTACAGGAAACCAAGATGAATAATGTTTAAGAAGACCACGGGCATGAACTGAGAACGTGAAAACAAACAAAAAAAAACAAGTATTGGCAAGAGAATGGGTCATACTGAAGAGCTCAGTAACTTAACTAAACACTGTCATAGGATGCCATCTTTGCCACAAGTCAATCTGTGACATTTCTTACCTGCTACATCTGCCTCAATCAACTGTAATTGCTATTATTGTGAAATGGAAGCCTCTAGGAACCACAGCTCAGTGCATATAATGGCCTATCCTCTGCTGCACCACTCACTACAGAATTCTAAATTGCTTCTAGAAGCAACATCAGCACAATAACTGTGCATCAGGAGCTTTATGAAATGCTTTTCCATGGCCGAGCAGCTGCAGACAAGCCTAAGATTACTATGTGCAATGCCAAGCGTCAGCTGGAGTGGTGTAAAGCACTCTATAGTAGTAGAAACGTGTTCTCTGCAACAATGAATCATACTTCATTATCTGGGAGTATAATGAATGAATCCAAGTTTGGCAGATGCCAGTAGAAAGCTATCTACTGGAACACACAGTGCCCACAATCAAGAAGGCCCTTCCCTGTTCCAGCATGACTGTGCCCCAGTGCACAAAGTGAGCTCAAGAGTTTGGTGTGGATGAACTCCAGTGGCCTGTACAGAGCCCTGACCTCAACCCCACTGAACACTTTTGGGATAAAATGGAACGTCAACTGTGAATCAGGCCTTTTCTTCCAACATCAGTGCCTGTCCTCACAAATGCTCTTTTGACTGAATGGGCACAAAATCCCACAGACACACGCCAAAATCTTGTTGAAAACCTTCCCAAAAGAATAGAGGCTGTTACAGCTGCAAAGTGTGGTGGGGAGGTTTTGGAATGGGATGCCCAACAAGCCCATACAGGTGCGATGGTCAGGTGTTCACTTACTGTTGGCCATAAAGCGTACAGATTCAAATACAATTCTTTGTTTTTGGTTAAAAAAAGAAAAAAACAATTCATTGGCATCAACTCAGATTAATTGGTATTCAAAAAAAATCAAATATTTGAGAAGACATTTTGGTTAAAAACTCTTTTGGAGAAACCAGTTTCTGAAAACCTAACTCTGTTGTCCCCTTTCTCTTCCCATTAACAGAGCAGTATGAGAGGAACCGGGAAAAGATGGATCAGTGGAGGCAGTATAACTACGACGGGCAATACCCACGATACCCTCACCACCGCCCCTACTACTGAGCACGCTCATACAGCCCCACAGCACCACACCTGCCTTAACACGAGCATCACTCTGAAATGTAGCAACATTTTCATTGGATCAGATGCCTTTTTTCCCTAAAACTTATTTCATTTGCAGTTATATACACTTTGCAAGTGCATTAATGTCACAAAGCGTTGAACTCATTTATTCTGCTTATATTCTCTTTAAAAAGATGTACTCTGAATTTTATTGTCTGGTTACTTGCTACATTAATCTGTAAACTTTATTCTTATATATTCCAGTTTTGCCTTAAATATTATAAGTTCTAGGTGGTGGGTGATTCAAGTGTTAATATATACCATTACTGATAGTGTTTTAAAAACAACAGGCATTCAAACTGTTATTGCAACCCATTTAAAAATAACGTAATTAATCTTAGAACTTCAAAAATGCTATAATTTGTATTTGTAATTGCCCTACCATTTTCTCCACCACCTGCCAGATATCTGCTGTGCTATTTACTTGGGTTAAAGCAGAAAAATGCTGTAATTTGATGCTGGAAATGAATAAATAATAAAAAAAAAAAAATCTGACACCCTTACAGTGTCTTTAAATCACTAGAACTGAATGAGGAAGGGTGGGAGAGGGGAGAAAGAGGAAAGCAAAATATGCACAGCTGTATCTTGCATACAGTTATACTTGCGCTCACATACCCCTGCACAAATCGTCTGACAGGCAGCAGACCTCTTTGCTGGCAGCAGAATTGAACATTCCAGAGTTGAAAGCTTAGACAGACAGTGAAATGAGAGCCGGGGCCACTTTGAAAGATTTACTGACTTTGCTGAACTTCTTCAGCTCCATCTTTCGTCCTCCCTAAGTCACCTGGATGAGAGAAGAGAAACGAACTGCTCCTGAACCCTGAAGTTGAGGCAATGGAAGCTCACAATGATACCTATGTGCGCTGCTGCCATCAGTCCATACCCACTCAAACCTATTTACTTGGATGTGAGAAAGATTAAGGACAGTGGATAAATAAAGACCAAAGAATGTGTGGACTCATGCTAGTTTAATTTACCACAGCCATTCATGATACAAATGCTTATAGACAGGAAAAACTATAAAATCATCATTTAAAATGCATTACAACACACAAACAAATAAAAACAGACAAACAGTTGATGCCAACCAGCATGTGAGGTAAAGAAAAGTGGAGCTGCAAATCAGCTGCAACATCTCTAATCCACTCTGTCCTCTTATGCTGACCTGAACATGTTTTTAATCAGCATTCTGCCAAAGCCTAAGCCTGAGAGAGGTTTCCAGCTTCACTACTTTGTTTCCTAGAGCAGATGGAGCAGAGGGAGGCTGTTGGCTCTATTTCATACTGTTGAAGAATTTGGGCTGCTCTTCACCACGTGGCAACAGTAGCTCTCCTCCAATCTTCGGCCCATTCTTCTCCTAGGGGGGACAAAAATGTACAAGTAGGGAGATGAGTGCAGGAGTCAAACTTAAGGCTTAGGCCCACCCCCAAAATAGGGGCCACATTTCTAGAAAGTACTGTGGTACCTTTAACATGCCATCTCTTTCCCACTTGAACAGGCCACAGTTGCTGAAATAGAGAATTCAAAAGTCAGCACTCCATCCATATGAACACAGATACTTTCTGAAAACATAGTATTTATCTCTCTGTATTTTGGAGTCCTATCCACATGAAAAAGGTCACTGAAAACTGAACCTTTAGGGCAATTTTGATCCAGTCCTACTAACATTACATTAATATTAATATTACATTAATATTACAGGAAACAAACTTCAACACATGCATTTTAGTGCATAATTACTGTTTATTTGAGTTTAACATATTAGAAAAAATAAAGCATGAAACAAAATACCACAGTCATTGTTTTTTTTCTCCCCAATATGCTAATTGCCGCAAATAAACAGTAATTGTGTATTAAAATGTGCAGAAGTATGCTTTCTATAGATTTTTCACTTGTCATTTGATGAGGGCACCTAAACTTTGGCATACAACTATATTTTAAAGTCAGTTTTCTAGATTTTACTGTTGATGGGTAGAAGATATCCTTTCTGAAAAATATGGACCAGTAAAAGCATGACCTGAAATAAATATTTTCATGATTAAGTTCCATTCATTTCTGTTCAGATAATTTTTCCTTCTCCAGTGGAGTTTCCCATTCGGAGACACAAGGCTTTGATGATAGTGATGATATGGTCAATGCTGATATGAATGTTGAGGATGTGTATCTGACATGACTGATGATAATATTGGGTTTGACTACATTTTTACTTAAATTTAGTTTCACTTTATCATTATACCATCAGTTACCATTCATTTTCTTAATACTTTTAGACATAGCCATTGTGTGATATTTTGCACAATCCACATTCATAATGCTCCAGGCTGTTTTAGGATTCTTGCATGGATAGAGAGTTTTGTGAATGGTGATTTTTCAGAAAATGGAGAGTAACAAACGTGTTTTCTGAAATATCTGAAAGTGTGTGGGTGAAGCCTTATCCCATGAGCCAATAAAACCAAAGAAGCTGCGACTTCTTTTCTCACTTACCTGCAGGCTGTACTTGGGAAGCGGGCCAAGCTGATCTTCCTCTGGCCACAGGGGCATTTAAAGAAGCGCTTGACAGCATCATGCCAGTGATAGTCGTGCTTCTCCTCCACACAGCGCTCGGCCGGCTTGAAGTGCGTGTACTTGCACTGCAGATCAGAGCAGCTCATTAACCACTGTGGCTTACTGTGTTGTGCACATGTGCATTAACCACTATGGCTTATTGTAGAGACACTTGGGAACTATTCACTGCTGAATGTTTAAAGGATTAAGCCTTACTCAAATGAGCACCCCTGAAAATATCCTGAGTGGGTGACAGAGTTATGGTCAGGATGTGCCACATTAGTGGACTTTCTTCACTGCTGCTTGGACTTTGCGTACACAGATTTGTTGCTGCATAGAGAAGTAGCCATAGCAGTCTAACGAGGCAGGACCAATAAGTCAAACTTATTTGACAAGAATTAGAAAGAGTTGGGTGGATGGATGTGCACTGAGCCACAAACTTTGAATCAGCATGCAAAGGTTTTAAAAGTCAACAGACCATTCAAAATGTAGACATAATGGTTTCCCACCTTCCACCCCCCCCACCCTGCCCCAAGCATGATACTGAATACTGCATACAGAAGTTACACAAGCTGTCATGGATCAGCGCCCTCTCTCTATGGTTGAGCAAATGCTGGCAAAACAAAGAGATGATGAGTTGCGTACATTTTTACAGGTGACTGCACGACATTTCATTTCTCTGATGCTCTTCATCTTTTCTTCCAGCTTCTCCTTCTGCACCAGCGGCTCAAAGTAGTCCTGCATGGCCTGCGCTTCCACCTATAGGAATATCAATTCAGGGTTATAGAAGAAATCATCTTACATCTACACTACTGTATATTTTACACATACAATTTTATAATAAAGTAAACAGAGTTACAAAAATGTATTAGTCATATATGCAGTGAGAGTGATTTTATAGAGGTGCATTTCTAATCCCTGTAATAAAAGCATGATACCTCTTTCACATATTGCATTTATATTTTACTCAGCTTACACACACCTCTCCCATAATCCAGGAGTTTGTGGACTTTGCATTGAGAATGCGCTGAAACTCCTCTGACTGGATAAATTCTAGCTGTTCCCGCCTCTTCTTCTGAGCTGGCTCCTCCTCCTCTTCCTCCTCAGCAGTTGTCTTCTCACCTGCAATCCGGCAGAACGTTAAGATCATGTGTGAGTTCAGGGTTTGCCTGGATTCATGGCAATGTCAAGGTATTTTGGGATGCACACCTTCAGGAGAGGTCAGGCTGCGCTGCACTCTGGAAGTGATCTCACTGCTGCTGGGCCGCTTGCGCTTCACAGAGTTAGGGTCATCTTTAACAATGGCCACTCCTTTGGCCTGGAGCTTTCTGACTGCAGCCATCTGAGAGAGGACAAAGGAGAGTTAATGCTACAGGTCCACAAAGACATGAGATCAGCTTATTTAGTGGGAGTGAAAAATGGGTGACCACTGACTCTTTTAGGCCATGTTCACACTTCGGCAGGTTTGGTTTAATTGAAATAAACTCTGGTGCAAATGCTTTGTTAGTGCAGTTTTTTTAAAACAAGTGACAACGCTGCCGCGTGGCAAAAAAGCAGACAGACTCCCAGAGGAGGTGAATTTCGGTCCACTTCCAAAGGAACTTTGGAGCGGTTCATTTGAGACTGCTTTCACACAGACTTTTTTTGCTAAACTTGGCTTATTTTCCTTTTGGTTCATTTGGTTTCACATTGCAACGGCTTAAGTGCGCCAAATAACAAACGTGAATGTTCCTAGAATTCTTTGACAGGTCAGAAATTTGGCAGGGACACAAGAGCTTCATTACTTTCACATTTGCCTGCATTAAAATGCCTCTTTTTACTGACCATTTACTAGCTTATCACAGTGTAAGATCCAAATCTACCCCTCACATATATTCTTGATAAAATGTTTAATTTTACCCATCATGTTGCATAATAATAAAGACACAATGTCTACATGTATAGTGATATAAGCACTATAAAAAAATAAATAAATAAAATAAATAATCTCTACTTCTATATGATAGATTGGTTGGATTCAAGCTGATGCATAATTAAACATCATACTTAATCAGGTCAATATCATGGCTTAACCTATCAAAAGTGGGTGTGTATTATTACCTCTTAATAATACTTAATAGACTGCACAGTTTCAGTGGCTGAGGCACGTTCAAAATACACTTTATATATACTTATCATCACACATATCAATTATATTATACATTAATGCATGTTTGTAACAGCAGTTAAACACCCCAGACTGAACAACTGACTAGTGACCTAATGTTCAAATACAGCAGAACATAAATTTAAAAAAAAAGACTATGACAGCAGCTGAATCTCTACAGACGGACACTGATGCTGACCATAACTCTGATTCTCCATCACTATATGTGGTATGTCAGACTTAAACCAATAAAGCAAACACATTTTTGCTTTCTTCATGATGGGGCCTGTAGCTAATGTGCTTATGTAACTGAAGTAGTCTTCCACATGCAAATGGAATGGAAGTTGCACACCTTTGCAGCTGACAAGCTTTTTGAGGGAGGAGGAGGAGACATGTCCAGCAAAATATCCTCCCCCTCCATAAAGCCTCTCCCCAGGGTGGGTACAGGAGGGGCACTGAGACGGCGTGCAGGTGGAGAGGAACCCTTTGAAACCTCTGACCCTGCTTTCTGAGAGAGTAGAGCACCACTGTTTATAGAGGGTCTAGCTGGACCAACTGCACCCCCTGTGTTCTGCAGCACCCTGAGAAACAGGAAAAAAGAAAAGTCAGTATAATAATTCAATGTTTCCTCCCTCAAAATATAATAAGTGAACACATGAGAGTGTATACTTCATAAAGACCAGGAGGTATATACACATGCACATTTATTCACTCCGTCTGTCTAACATACTCACCTCTTCTGGATCTCTTCTGCCCTCTTCTGTCTGGCCTGCAGCCTTTGCTTGTGCAGCTCTTTCTGCTGTTTGAGGAGGTCGGCAGCAGAGATGGACAGGACTGATGATGTGGATGGCTCTGTATTAAACAGAAAGCAGGTGTTAAAATCAATCAACCCACCTTGACTTAGAAAAGGTAACTGCTGAGCATGAGTACAAACTATTCAATGATGTGAACATGGACTGGAAAAAAAAAGAAGTTTTACTTGTTATATTTGATTAAATTATCAAAACTTCAATGAAACATCAAAAGATAAAGAAAAAAAATGATGAAAATAAAAATAAGAAAAGATAAATGAAAAAACAAAAATAAATAATAAAAACAAATACATTAGTTGATAATTTTATAGCTAGATCCAACTAGAATAACAAACAACCATAACAAATAAAAATAAACATAAACAAATCAATTTAGAGTGTGGAGTAAAAGCCATGAGCACAAAGATGCAGCCTCAGGCACATAATTCTAGAGGTGCACCAATTATTGATTTGCATGGCTTATTCCGAATTTTACCGCCCATATTTTTACTTCTTTGTTTTAAATATCCAAAGCTCACACTGTGTGTGCTAAATGAACACAAGTGCACTAGAACATTTCCAGAACTTTTTATTAACCACATTTATATCAAATAAAATGATTTGCTCTTTATTAGACCACACAGACGTTTAAAATTTTAAAAAGAAAAATCAGTTGCCTATTTATTAACCTTAATCAAATAAAATGCTACATCAGAAGGGGGGTGACTGGCTATTTAGCACAATGAGTCATGCATAATTATGCTACATGTTTTGTTACAAGTGTAGCAGCAGCATTCAAATGCAGCACAAGTGCATGTACCTCTCTCACATTTTTGACCTCATAAAATTACAACACAGATCGGCCAGAATTAAAATAATCAATTGGCTGATTGATGATTGCACTAGTTGTTGTATTTAAGTAAAAAAAGCTTGTGATATGAAGAAGTCTGTTTGAGAAGGCAGCCTTTGATAACTGCAGTGAATCAAAACTTTTGCTCTGTAGCCCACTAGTGGTCCACAGTGGCAATGCCGACAGAAAGATTTAAAGACAGCTCATGCACAGTGAAGCAGTGTCCCCAGGAACAGAACTCACTAATTTACCTGTGTCAAGCATCGTCTTACTTCAAGATGCATGTATTAAATAAATACAGAGACATGTTTTTAAAGTAGCTGTAGGAGTTAGCAAGCACATTACCTGCTGACTGAGCTTGTCCCAAGTGTCTCTTCATTTGAAGAGCTCCTGGTGTAGGCATGGACATTAGGGTTTTGAAGTCATCCGAACATCCAGACACTTCACCTGAACTCAGTCCTACAAATAACAAAAAAATTGAAAAATAATTATCAAAATTAAGTAAATAATTAAAAATATATGTATATGCATGCTTTCATTTGCTCATGCACTCTCTCTTCCCCAAACTATTGCATGTTTATACAGGCAGGGAAATCAAACTTCTTATCTGTATCTGTTTTGTTTTTTTTCTTTAAAAGTAAACCAATTGGAAATAAATTCCAATTTGGCTCACAATCAAGTGAAATATGCAGGTAGTTTATACAAAAATCACATCTAAAACCTTTGCCTACGATCTTACCAAGCTTCTTGGAGGGGATAGAAGCCAAAACTGCTTGAATTGAGGGCTGTTTCTTCGGCTGTGGGGCAGTCCTATAAAAAACACACAACAATAATGTTTTCATGACAGATAACCTCTCTCTCTCTCTCTCTCTCTCTGTCTATCTCTCTCTACACCTTATAGAAAGGAGAGGTTAACTCACACTGACGGTGCACAGGCAAGTGAGGACATGCCCCCATAGTGGAAGTCACTCTGGCACAGGCGTTCCCTCAAACCACCCCGGCCCTTTTTTTTTCCAGGGGCCGAGCCTGTGAAGCTGGACTGAAGCTCTGCTCTCTTTGAGCTCATCTTTTTGTACTGTGCCTTAACGTGGTACTGGCAGTACTGACATTCATACTAAATAAAGAAAACACAAACAAATGAATACACATGCAAGTGGCAAAACAAATGAAAATTCATAAAAAAAAAGTTTGAACAGGTGGACGCACCAAGTTGACTAACTGGGTGCAGGAATCCCCGTTCTTCTTCTTAGCCTGGCAAGTACCAAAATCCATGGCTTCCCCCAACATTAGAACCTTCTGTGGATGGTCCACTGTGAGGCAGAGCTGTAAACAGGCAGTATGCTGCATTACTTTTGAGTACAGCCACAACGCAATATACTTTCAACCCAAATGTAGAAGACACCACACTATCTGTGACCGTCTACGTGTCAACCAAAATTCATGGAAACATTACAGCAACTGCAGAGCTGCTCTGGAATTCAGCTGTAGATGCCTGTAAAAATTTCAGAATTTTACAGCACCTCTGAACCATCGGGATGCTTAATCTGTAAAGGAATTGCTGGGAATTTCCCCTCATAAGGTATGTTGGAAATGTAGTAATGTAGAACAGCCTTTTTCTGAATATTACTGGATGAGCATGTTAGCCGGTTAGCATCTCCAGAGCTGGTTGTTAAAGCCAAGCTCTTGCAAATGGTACGTTTACAATGTTTATTTTACTTATCTCAGAGGAAATGCAGAACTTGTATAAAAGTTTTGTGAATCGTTTCAGAATCTTTCAAGAGAGAACTGCATCCAAGAATCGATAATTTATTTTCAACCCATAATATATACACAGACACACAGACACACACACACACACACACACACTCAAACAGGTCTAATAATAGCAGGCAAGATACACACCCTCAAACATGTCTGATAATACCAGGGAAGATCATTTTATAAACTATACTGTACTGTACTATACTATACTGATTAAATAAAGATGTGTCTGTAAACACGCACAAACACACACATCTACATTTTCACATATTCAGACGTGACCAAATTTGTTGGTACCCTTTACAAACTTCCCAGACTGCATCGCTGAAAGCCAGTGTCTAGTACCCACAGAGGTGACAAATCTGGCATGATTATAAATTAGAAACTAAAAATGAATGACTTAGAAATCGGTCATTTAATTCAGGCAAAAAGAAAGTAAACATACTGTATACTCATATCAAATGTACCAACGTCTTTGCAAAAGTAGCTATAGATGCCATTTCCTACCAATTTTAACATTCAAATACAAAAAAATGCAAAGAACCCTGGATACACAGACATTCCTCATTCATCTGTTTCTGTGTGCCTTTTTCTCACCTCATTAGATCCATCTTTATTCTTCATTTGGTTGGGGTTAAGTATGCCAATCACTGTCCCAGTGTCCGTTTTCCACAGGTCTGTGTGAACAGTTCCAAAGAGGAACAGTGACACATTTACCTCAAGGTTACGAAGGTCATTCAGCTTCCAGATACTGAAGGTTTTGCCCTATGAAAGAAATCGGTTAGCTGTAGAGGTCAAATACATAAATGGACAATTCATTTGCTTCAGGCATATTGATCAGTATCATTTCTTATTATATGCAGCTTGCAAAGCTTTAACTGTTGCTTACATTGTTCTTGCTTTGTGGGGTGATTTTACTTATCACCACAGCAAAGGTGACCCAGTCACTGTCTTCTAGATTGTCCCTGGCCAGTCGGTCAGGCAACTGTGAGAGCCTGATCATTTTGCGGTTAGCCATTTTGTGTTCGATTTCTACAGAAGACAGACGAGGTCTCCTACAGAGGAACAGAGGGCGAAGCAGACAAGGACCATCAGTGAACTTAAGGCAGGCTGTTTTTATCTAGGGCTGAAAGATTCATTGTTTTTATATTGAAATTGCAATTTGAAGAGTGCACTTTTTGTCCACTTTATCAGCTCCACTTATCATACAGGTCACACTCTGTACTTTTACAATTATAAACTGTAGTCCACCTGTTTCTCTGCATAATCAGTTAGTCCCCCTGCATCATCAGCACTGCAGTCACACTGACATCTTGGTGTGTTAGCGTGTTGCTATGATACAAATTAATCAGTAACCGCAGTGCTGCTGGAGTTTCTTAACACTATGTCCACTCACTGTCCACTCTATCAGACACACCTGTGTTGTTGGTCCAGACTGTAGATGTAAAGCCAGAGACGATAGCTCATCTCTTGCTGTACAGTATGAGCTAATCATCCTCTAGTCCTTCATTGGTGGTCACAGGACGCTGCCCACAGGACACTGTTGGTTGGATATTTTTGGTTGGTGGATTATTCTCAGTCCAGCAGTGAAACTGAGGTGTTTAAAAACTCCAGCAGCACTGCTGTGTCTGATCCACTCAGACCAGCACAACACACACTAACACACCACCACTACCACCACATCAGTGTTACTGCAGTGCTGAGAATGATCCACCACCCAAACAGTACCTGCTCTGTGAGGGTCCATGGGGGTCCTGACCATTGAAGAACAGGGTAAAAGGGGGCTAACAAAGTATGCAGAGAAACAGATGGACTACAGTCTGTAACTGTAGAAGTACAAAGAGCACCTATATAATAAGTGGAGGTGATAAAATGGACAATGAGCGTAGAAACAAGGAGGTGGTCATAATGTTGTGCCTGATCGGTGTATACACTTCATAAAGCACAGAGAAATTAATTTTGACAAGTGGCTGACTAAAAAGCCATGCCACCTGAATGGAAAATTCTTTTCTGGTAGCTTTAAATTTTGCTTCACACCTAGGTGAACTTCACACTGGCAGCGACATGCCACTACAAAGCAGCAAGAAATTAGTTCATTTTCAAGTTAGCTATTTTGTACTTATTTTTAACCCTAAAAATGGGCGCACTCTGAAAAAGGTTAAGAACTTCCGGTCTGCAGAATTATTGCAATAAATAATGTTATCATGATTTAAATTCAATTACAAAGTACTACATGTAAGTGTTACAGAGGCTTACCCTGTAGCTTACATCTTTCCTGATGGTAACATAACTACCATACAATTATCAACTGGGCGAGCTTCCACTATTACTTAATCATTTACCATGATAAATATTCTCCGCACAGATGGCATTTAACACTCTAAACACCCAGTGATTTTACGTTTGGAAACCAAAACACTGTCAAATTAGTGTGCTGGCTCCCTTCCTCTGGACAAGCTCATCCACTTTATTACATAAATTATCAGAACATTTAATAATACCAATTATTGGCCCAAGGCTCCAGCACAAGTACTTTAAGGTTCTGTTATTGCACAGCGATAAACAATACGGTTATTATCATCTTCAGCAGTGTGGCTTTATCATGAACATCGAATACACACCTAAGCCGGAGACCTGAGAATTTCTCCACAGTAACGTCCTGAGTGACAGAGGGTCTGGGTGTGGCTTGTCTTGCAATGGGAGGAGTTACACCAGCACTTCTACTTGATGGGGGCGACTTCATTGTGTCACTGATTTTAGCGTTAGTCCTTGCTGGCTGCGACAATCTGTCGCTCACATTATGTCCCAGCAGACTCTGCTTTTCAGAGGAGGCTGTAAAAAAAATAAATGCGTATGGTTTCAGCCTACAATCTATTAACATACTTAACTGTTGCAGCAACTAGGCAGCAACTGAAATCAAAAACTTTAACTGTCAACTCTATTTAGTCATTTCTACACACATATTAGTAACCAATTACCAGCTTTGGTTGGCAGTGCAGTCCTCTGTTTGCAATTTGCTTCTACAGGTGGAGACAATGTTGCTTTCTGGGCTGTTGGAGATGACCGGATGCTGGGGTTTGTTTGTAGGACAGGTTTGCCGCACTGCTGGGGGGACGTCAGATGCTTGGTGGAACGCTGTGTTGCTGGTAAAGGTTTGGTACTTGGTCTCTGTGATGAGGGGTTATGCATGGGCTGGGAGACCACACCTTTTTGAGACGCCTCCAGCTGCTGCTGTAGCTTTTGCATCTTCTCTCGCATGCTTTTCAGCTCCTCTAAAGTTTAAAACATCAACGCCAAAAAAATATGTTCAGTAAAATGACAATCTATTTGTTGAGCTTAACAAAAAGTTCTTTATCAGTGTCAAGTAAAAGACATTTTCAAAATATATTTGTAACAGTAAATTATTTGCAGCAATGAACTGCCCATGTTAAATGATCAAATCTCACCCTCCAGGTCCTCTTTAGATTTATTCAGTTCACTTTTCCCTCCTGGGCTCGAGCTTGCTGACTCTATGTCTTTTTCCTCTTCCTCCTCTGGCTCAGCATAACCTTCGCCTTCATCACAGTCGTCATCAAACAGATCATCCAAATTGTCCTCCCCTTCTCTAGCAGCAGAGGTCTCTGGATTCTGACCCTGACTCTCTTCAAAAAGAGAGAGCAGCATGTCCAGGTTTTCGTCCTCGGCTGGTGATCATAAATCAAAAGATCTTTCATTAGAGGCTGTTGCTTCATAGGCTAAATATAGTTGCAGCAGTTACAGTAAAAGGCTGTTAGACATTGACAAAATTCAATGTTTGATAAACCTGTCGGTTATCACGATGACATGAAAAGCAAAAATGTATTATTAATAAAGTTTGCCTTTGACCAAGTACAGACGTTTTGTTTTTTTGGAAATCTAACTAATCTCTCCTATGACCAAATAGCAAAATACAAAATTACACATTTAAAACAACACTGGGTGTGAGAAAAATCTTAATGTTTGATGCATTTTTACACACTTGTAGTTCAGGGTAGAGTAGCTTTTGAGCTGGCAGTTTAGCCTAATGGTTAAGTCACTTCACTCACCGGGAGAGCAGGGTTCAATCCCAGCACTGAGAAGCAGGTATCTAGCTTCTAATGGTTTGTGCCTGCTATGATCTCTTCTGTCACTGCAGCCCTTAACAATGTGTTAATTGCAGAAACTCATGTTGTGATAACTGTAAAAATACGATTTATCATGCAGCCCTATTACAGACAAAGGGATGCACCATACTAAGGTGAGGAAAAGGAGTTTAGTTTTTGTTTGTGTTTGCAATAAACAAACATCATAACATGACATCTATTAATACTTAGTTCTTTCCTGTCCCACATGAAACAGCATATTCAAATCTTGAAATCTTCTACTCAGACAGCAGTTTCCCCTGCAATAATAAAGGAAGAGCAACTTTCCCGGCCAAACTTGCAAGCCTCCCAGCTTGAATGAGATACACAGATTAGGAAATAACTGGAAGGTTTAACGTTTGCTTATCGCTGTTTCTGTGGTTCACTCAATTTTGGGCAAAATTAATTTTCATCCATCCATCCATCATCTAAACCGCTTATCCTTCTGGGTCGCGGTGGGGTGCTGGAGCCTATCCCAGCTATCATTGGGAGTAGGGCAAATTCATTTTCAAATTGTTTTAAATCAATTATTTTTAACTTTAAAGATACACTAAATTCAGATTCCAGATACAGCAAGGATGTGATAAGTGTGTGGCAGGGGGAGCTGGTTTGCGTCAAAGGAGCATGTAATCATCTTGCATCTAGTCACAGTAGGCTAAAACATGCAGTTTAACGCTCTTCTTTAAGTACTGCAGATGCCTGCAATATGTTTAAAAACATTCTTTACAGAGTTCAATTTCAAATTTAGACTCCTGTGGGTGTAAGTGCATGCCATAGTCTCTCTCTGTATCTAAACCTTGGTCAGCAACATCCGAACACTCATCTTAAGTTTTAAAAACAGCTAAAATACACAGAAAATTATATGTATTATGTGTGGCAACAAACATGCATGTCTTTATCCTATCTGAGTGGCCAATAGGATGCATTTGTCTTTTCATGTGCCCTTTCCAACTGTATTGTTTAGAATTAAACACCTCTATGTTAAGATTAAACAATTTGATGATGATGATGATGATGATAATTATAATAACAATAAAAACAAATTAATTATAATTATAGGTAGTTAAGAGCCAAAAAACAAAACTTTCACTTTCCATTTACTTTATTTTTCAAAATACTCCAAGAACTAATGACAAGATTTATTTTAATTTACACTTTTCAGTTTGTTGTAGACGTAACGTTCAGTAAAATCCTCTAATACACTACATGAACTGTTTGTGATTTCCAACATCGTGCCACTGCTTGAAGCAGTTGCGTTTTGGCACCAAGCACAAGGGCACATTGCAATTTGTGCAGTAGATAGGAGTCTTCACTTGTTCTCCAGCCTTCTTGCATAGCTCACATTTCCGTCTTGCACTTGTACCATCTGTTGAATAGTACGCAGGCATGCACAGTTCTACTCGCACTGGCTGGGGTGGTGGACGCTTTGGAGAATGGGATTTTTTACTAGAAACATTCGCAAGTTGAAGCAGTAGCATTTCCCTGAAGACTTTTTGTGTGACAGGGTCTTCTCCACGTGCCTTGGCCATTTGCTGATGAAGGATAAAGCTATTGACAATCGCAATGTCAATAAAATGGAAAAAGAACGTCTTGTACCACTTCTTTACTTTGTGGAGAACGTTGTAGTATCCAATAAGAGCATCGGAAAGATCTACGCCGCCCATGTGTTGATTGTAGTCTTTGACAGCAACAGGAATCGGAACCTCGGTTACACCCCATTCACCTTGCTCATTTTTCACTCGTCTCTTCACCGTGTCACCTGCGTAGGCCTTGTGCATTGTAGAACACATACGCACCTCTCTTGTGTCCATCCACTTCACAAACAGTAGCTTCCCACGTCTGCACCAGCGGATGGTTCCTCTCTTCGCTCTCTTTGGAAGATCGTTCCTTGTTGTTTGTGGGAAGCCTTGCCAATTGGTACGGAAGGTGCCGCATGCAAGGGTGTTCTCCTGTAGCAGAGCAGTGAAAAGGCCGGGGCTAGTGTAGAAATTGTCCATGTAAACCTTATAACCCCTGCCCAGCAGTAAATGATCCAGCAATGTTATCACTACATCATAACTAAGCCCTTTTCCTGTAGTCGTGGCCCTTTTTCCCTCATACACAAAGAAATTCCATGTGTATCCACTGGCGGAATCAGCAAGGACAAACAGTTTGTAGCCCCATTTGGTGGGCTTTGCTTTCATGTATTGCTTTAGTCCACTTCTTGCTTTGGAGGCCACCATGCGCTCATCTATGGACAGTTCTCTGTAGGGGTGGAAAAAAGTTAGGCATGCTAAATGTATGTCTGAGTAAAGGGGTTTGATCTTGAATAGCTTGTCATATCCTGGGGATCCTTTCTTCTTCATGTTTTCCGCATCTTCCTGAGGATCGCAAAGATGGAGATTGCTCGAGATAGCTGCAAACCTCTTGCCTGTTATGACTGAGGAGGGGAATGCAAGCCTGTAAGGCAGTTTTCGGCTCCAGTAATCTTTCAGATTCTTTGTTTTTACCAAGCCCATGTAAATAACGAGAGACAAATAGGCGTAGAACTCATCGACTGTGAGGGGAACCCATCTGTTCTTTACAGCTGCTGCTGATCTATCTGTCTCTGCAAACTTGTTAGTGTTATCCACAATAGTTTTGATAACGGAAGTGCTAAAGAACAACTGGAATAATTCCAGAGGGGAGTACATCACGTGTGAGGCGAGCTGCGGCCCTGGTGGCCGCTCTGGCAGGAAAGGAGGGATACTGGGCTGTTCATCTTCATCGTTGATGTCATGCCACTCTTCCTCTTCCTCCAGTTCTAAAACATGAGGTTGTGCTCTGGCTCGCTTTAATGGTGTCCCTTGTGAACCAAAAGCAATGTCAGATGCAGAGCAGGAACGTCCTCTTTTCACTGCTGATGGAGGTGCTTCTTGTGTGATTGATGTTGAACTGGGCACATGTGTACCAGCTGAACTAGGACAGACAGTACTTGTTACTTGTTGTGCCCGAGTGGGGGTGATGGGCAAGGTCTGCTGGCTTTTCTTTGTCTGCATTTCATTTGGGAGCTCCCACTGCTCATAATCAGTCCTTTTAAAAAGAAAAAAAAACACATATTATAAAAGTGACAAAGTCACAAATTGCTCTATAATCTTAGAAAACAATTAGAAACAGAACACAAATAGCCAACCTATAAAGACTGCTTGACCCAGTCTTTTGAATGTAATGTCAATGGACATACATATTTACAGCCATGTGAAGAAGTAAGTATGAAAAGCTTTGACCTTTACACTATATTTGGACATACATTTATCTGGTCTTCATTAAACAATGGGGACAGTAATATAATTTAACAAGTGTCACTTAAAATTAACATTTTTGTCATCCTTTATTTAATTTAAATGAAAAGTAATGCTATTTTCTTGTGTGAAAAGTAAGTACATCCCTACATATATCACCACTTCAAATGTGTCAAACTGAAATCAGAGGACTGGCCAACATGCAATCATGGACTTAACTATGAATTCTCTTTCCTACCAGAGTGCCATCTATCAAAGTTGAAGCTGAAGAAGTGGACTGTCCAACAAGTTAATGATCCCAAACATATAAATAAATTGCAACAACGAATTGCTCAAAAGGAAACACTTCTGGCAAAGGGAGCGATACCAGTTACTGAAGTGAGGGTCAACGTATGTCAACGTATGCAAAAAACAAGCAAACATACTTTATGGGATGTACCTACTTCTTCATATGACTGTAGATCAGCCACAACAGCTCTTACTGTATAAACAAGATGAGGTAACCAGTCAAAGAAACATTTTTACATACCTGTCAAAAATAAGTTCGTCTTCAGAGGATCCCTCAGCCGAACCACAGCTCTCACTACTCTCTGATTCCAGCAACTCTTCTGTTTCACTTTCGCAGTCCACCTCCTCCACAGCTTTGCCATCATTGTAAAACATTTCGTCTTTAATTTCCCAAATATGTCCGGACGCCATTTTTGGGTCTTTAACGAAAACTTAACTTCTGAAGGGTTAAGTTAAGGGGGAAAATGTCTGTTAGGGCACCTCTTCTGTGGTTTGCTTTTATATTAACATTTCTGATTGACGTAGCGTTTGAAAGCTTAAGATTCTCAACGCAGGACCTCATGTTAAAGTTTCAGTCGAACGCTGGACAAGAACAGACTCGGCACCCCATGAACCTAAAAGCTTTGTTGATTCTACTACTCAATAAATGAAAAAGTTAACACTCAAAAGTCACAGACAAACAATATGGTTCCTATAATCATCCTTAAAGAGAAGCAGGACACACGGTAGTTATGTTACTTGTCGGTAGTGATGGACTTTGTCTTTCTCTACACTAAATACCCAAAATAATAATCTGAAGAATTGAAAAATTCAATGTGACACAGTAATGCTGACATACCAAAATCAGTCACTATGAATTTAGAAAGGTTTCTGCTCTTTTCTGATTGTCGTGTATCTAAAAAGATAAAATGAAATATCAATATTTTAGCCTTATACCTGCATAAACATCTTAATGCAAACGCATCAATGGGTTTTAACTACACAGCAGCAACCTAAACTTGCGGCTGCAGCGAGCAGTCTCACCGGAAATGAAGTTAAGAGTAGGCGGTGTGTAATTTGGGATGAAATATCAACCGAGCAAATATTAATATGCAATAACACTCTAATCAATGAACAGGCTGCAATATGCATAACACGCAATAGAATCAATGGCAGAACCAACGAGCGCGCACAACACTCGCTTTTTATCGTGTATGATGAACAAAATTTTGTACCTTAAAAAAACAAGCATGCAAGGCTGCAAGTTATGGGCCGAGCAAAGAAGCACAAAGCCCGTTCCCTGACTAGGCTACTGAAACCAGAAGGGCGGATCGAGAAACCTCAGGTCAGTCAGTCTGACTAAACACCAGTTGCACAGCCTGTTTGTGCAGCACCGCTGTCGACATAAGCTAATCAATGCAAATAAAAGCCAGGATTTTCGAGCAGGTGTGCTGTAAAGAGCTAAACAACACAACAGCCCGGTTTACGCACAAACACACAAGCACAGTCCGTTCACGACAAGAGGAAACGAGCCTTCAGACCCGACTGCCATATTCCGCTCTCTTTTTCTGTATCTTTCGAATGTAGATGCAGAAATGACCATGCGGATAAATCACTGCTGTGGACAGCAGCAGGTAATGCAGTGCAGAGAAATGCACTGAGTTCTACTGCAGGAGAGAGGTGGACCGACGGAACCTCCATGCGAGCTAAGTGAGCTAAGGGACCTCGTTGTGCTGCACAAACATGTTTAGCCCATTCAAAGACCACCGTAGGCGTGTCATCATTCTGTAGTCGGCGCCATGCTCTTATGCCCATATTAGGAACTCCGGGTCTAAGCCCGTTTTCTCTATGGCCAGAATTAATGGGGTTTTAGAAAAATCACCTATATCGCACCAGAACCCAAAACGTTTTGTCCTGTGAACATTCTTCTCTCGAATAACATTGGATCCTCTGAATTACGAGGTCGTTAGAGTTGCGATATGAACATTGCTACATGTAAGCTAAAGCTACTGCGCACTGAATTGACGTCATTAGACTGGCAGCCTCCTTAAGCGCGCTTTGATAGTACGGTAGCGTATTTCCATGTACAAACTGAGGGCAGATGAAAACAACAAATTTAGCCTATCAAAATATCGCACGAATACAGTGGGATGCTCAAATCAGTATGACAAGGAAAAAGGCCACATAACCTGTCCTGATGGCCTAAAATGAATCGTGTTAGTTGTACCTCGCACCTCTAACAGCAGATGTCTTTGATTAACATACTTTTCATAATTTTATTCAGTCAATTGAGGATTTATATTATTCTGCTATACCTCAGTATTATGTGAACAAAAGGCTGAATTTAACATGATACATTAGCGTTAAATGACTCAATTTTTAAGCTATATCGTTCTTACATATTTGGCGTCTAAGAAAATTCATAGAGTATATGGACCATCGAGGCTGAGGTCACTTCCTATTCGCCAGCTTCTTGTTCGAATTTTCCCGGTCCACCTTAAATGGTGCAGCTGCCACATTCTGGCGCATGAGATTCTGGACTGTAACCACTACAAAGATTCAGGTAAACCAAGGTGGTTCATGCCTGTTTAAGCGAATGGGGCGAAAAAGGACTTCAGTTCCTGTCTGCTAGTCTTGCGTCAACCGCTTCGCCCCGCCCCCGTCTCCGTCTCCCAGGGCAACAACAGCAGTCTGCGCTGAAAGACTGGGCAGCGGGCTAAACAAACCCCAAACACAACCGTTTTTTCTTAAAATCGGCTCGTCTGAAAATGCGTTTTTAGGCTCAAAATACTTTCAAGACTCTCACATTTACAAAAGTGGACACAACTTCGGTGTAATCATAAAGCGGGGGGAAATAAGCGCTAAAGTTGGGTGAAAGTGGCAGAATTGCCCGCTGGTGTGAATGGGGGCTCGAGCGTCTGTTGTCTGCAAAAGGGGTGGATGAGCCCCCCCCTCCCGCTCGCCAAGACCACGTCACCGCGTCCCCGGACATATTGACATAGTGGCTCTCGGCTTCATGTATGCTCTCTGACTGCGAGACCATTTAAGGTGGAACGGCAACATTTAAAAAAAGCTGATGTCAGCTTTGTTATAAACCAAAGAACATTTAAAATGTCAGACCCTGACACTAACAGGTTCAGTGTGAGTTAGACCAGGCTGTACTCACCCGTCATTCTGCCCAGTCCTCTGCTGTGATCTGAGAGTGCTCCAAAGTGATCAGCTCAGCAGATCAGTGAACTCCTTAATGACTGTTCGGTACACACAGACCGATAAAACTACGAGTGACAAAGAAAAGACAATATCGCGAAAGCCTTCATATTTCTTAAATATGATGTGACGATAACAGTAAAATGTTCACTGTTATTTTCCTCTTGCACTTCTGTGGTGGCGCGAAAATGTTAAAGCACGAAGGACCCTAAACCCACGTCACGACAAGCGGATACTCTAGCGCCTGTTACGTTTAAACATGTAGCCGTGTCTGCATTTTTAGGTTTATATTCACATTGTTTGCCGTGTGGAGGTCAGGCTGTATCGATATTGTTCGGTTGATTAACTCTGCGATTCTGTTCTTTATGATTTTTAAGGGCGATATTGCAGTTCAGGATGTGTCCATGTTCGCTGATCTTCAAGTCATTTCCGCCTGACAACTTTTCGTCCACATGCAGTGGAGATTGTCTGTTCCTGTTTTACATGAAGCCCGCCGGGAAGCGCACTTTGTTTGTCAATTGAGCATCTTGAAATAATTACTTATTTTCTTTTAATCTTAAGCTGTTATTTCGAAACAATAAGTTACTTCCTCGAACTACTGACTTAGTATATCAAAGTATATCAAAATAATCTATTTCCTTGAAATAACGGCTTGGTGTGTCAATATTGGCTGCTTATTTACTCAGAACTTTGCCTCGAAATTATGACTGCCCTTCTTGAAACTGAATAATTTCAACACGTTGGGATTTTGCCTTAATAACTCAAAATCTCTAGAAGATAATTCATTTCATAATACTAAGTCAATATTTCGAGAAAATAATTTTTACATGGTAATATTTTGAGAAAATAGGATGTGATATACTAAGTTAATATTTTGAGAAAATAAGTATTTTTAAGATAATAATTAATAGAAATTATAGAAACCAATTATTATCATTATTTTGAGATAAAAAGTGAAAATTTTGACATGCAGCCTGTAACAGAAAGACAGTGAAAAAACAAGATGATTTTTTTCTCTACCTGGCTTCAATAAGCTTTCATACTTAAATCATAATCAATAAAAAATGTTCATTATTACAGTTTGATAGATATTTATTTTGTCCATTACAATGGACATTAGTTTTGAAGAGCAGCAACATTCCAATTAATGTTTTCAGAGCTGTTTCAAACCAACCTGAAAGCTTTACCAATGTTTTTTTCTGTTAGGGTAACACAGTTCATTTCAAGCAATAAAATTATGTTTTAAGATATTATTTAGTTTGGAACACCTGCTCACATCTCACATACTGTGATTTTCGTATTTATCGACTTTAGGCGCGTTTGTTTTCATTGTGGGTCTGTATTTGTGTTTGCCTGAATGTGTGAGTGTGTGTATGTGCATGCCTGGTTGTATTCAAATGTGAGTGCAGAATGTGTGTATGGGCCTATAGGGACCACATCCTTACTAGTTTTATGTACTCAGCATTTTATACCTACTTACAGAAATTTCTTTTTTTGCATTTGACTATTCAGCTTCCCAATATTTGAGGCATGTTTATTAATTTTAAGTTACAGTGCACCCAGAGCTGTTATATTTCGTATGTATAATCAATAGAAGGCATTATAATCTGTTTTGTCATGACTGAAATCACATTATAGTTTTGCACCACACAGCTTAGTTACTTGCATTGAAGCCAACTGTTACTTACAAAGGATGTCAAGATTTACTAAAATCGTGTGTAAAATGTAAACAATCTCATGTGATATTCTGGTAGATCTAATATTATCTTTGCGCTCTACTTTAAAGAATATAACCCTTAGGATACATACTTACGCAAATTTAAAAACAGGAAATAGAACTCGCTCTTCTTTTGGCATCCAATTAGCAACATACAATCAAATAATTATTTGCATTTGCTTCTCGATAAAAACAACAGAGAAAAAAGATGTGAATTGGAATGGACACCAGGTCTTAAAGTGTACAAACCGTGACCTGTGGATTGTGACTGAAGGATCAATTATTGTAATATTAGTAGTACATGACAAAAAATTACACGGAAACCAAGTGTACATTAAACAAATATTCACAATCAATGACATTTATTCCTGAAATTGACTAGACGTTAAACATTCACATTTATTTTCAGATCTAAGAGGCGAAATAAGCAAACTGCCATAGTTAACAACAGGTCACCATGGCGTAAATATTAACCAGTTAAACCAGATTAATTAGTTTAACCAAGGTCCCTTTACACACAAACAATTAAAAACATATTTATCTTTTCCCATTGAGAAGAGCATTACAAATATTTCCATTGAAATAAGAGCCAGTGTAGTGTACCTGCTGTAGTCTAGTGCTGGGATGGGTAATCAATTCTAAAAGCTGAAGCTTGATCTTCCCTGAGTATCTAGACAATGCAATATTCCCTGATATCAACATAATATTCCCCATTCATATATTATACTTCTCTTTAATGTATGTGTAGCATTTCACAATGCAGCTCCATAATGCTACTGGTGAATACAGTCATGTGGAAAGTTTGGGTCAAAATATGTTTTGTTGATTTTCTAAGTGACAGTAAGTTCATACATTGAACTTAAATATAGTATGTGTCTGTGTAAAAGTAAAACATATGCAATGTGTCATGACTTTTGCATGTGCCATTTTATGTTTTATTTTCCCCAATATGTTCACTTCAGTAAACAGTAATTTTGCATTAAAATGTGCAGAAGTGTGTTCTCTGTAGAGGATGTGAACTTATTTTCACTTAGAAAATCAACAAAATCAACAGGGGAGCCAAACCTTTGGCATACAACTGCATATTGTGCTCATAATGCAATATATATGATTTAGATGGCATACTATGAGAAAAACAAGAAAGGCACAGTATTGCCAAATGAGACACATTTGACCATATATTAATACACTTTTTCTATTGGCACTAGTATCATATTTTCAAAAATAAATACCTTCAAAACATATTTTGATTAATCACAAGTGGAGTGCTATACAGTGCATATACGTGTATACACATTTATACCAATTGTACATGTTATTTTATGCCATTTAACATGAGGTATTGGTCTTACATTGATGGCTATGCATGTGAGCCATATTCCAGCATTCTACCATGGCATAAAAATTACAGAATAGACTTCCTAATGCCACACTTCCATTTTGGGAATAGCACACACTGCTTTTAGAAGGTATGAAATATGTTCATTTAAAGAGTTCGATGGCAGGAAGCTTGGCACAGGCAGCATTGTACTCACAAAAGTGATGGCCGTCAGGTGAAGCTCATCACCTGCTGTATAGGGATGACGGCCTAGGGTTCATGAAGATTAGTGAACAGCCATTATGATGGCCAAGTACATACTCCAAGTACAACATCCAACATGCACCAGACCTTCAATTTATCAAAGCTGGCCTGAAAGCCATGAGAATATTTCAGTCCCTTTGCTGCTGTTCTCCTGAGGCTGTAGGGAGCCAGAAAAAAGGCTACCTCTTGTCCAGTAACCAGTAACACCCTCAACACCCTAAGGTTCAGCTCTCAGTACATATCCTTGTAGATTTCCTGCAGTAATGGATGAAGCGAAGTGTCCTGTGTCTTCTTAATGTCCTGGACCAACTGAGCATGCTCTGTTACGAGCTGCCGAAGGTCGGCCAGTTTCTGCAGGAGCTTGGGGAAGAGGAAGGTGTTGTCAGGGTGGTTGGCCTGCAGATGGAGCTGCAGAGCATGAATGATACTTTCCTGAATGCACTCGATGTGTGACACGTTTGCCAGTCCTGGTCGGTCTGTGAGTGGTGGGGAAGAGGGACAAAAAGAACAGGATTCAGGGACCAGAAATTTCTAAGCTAGTCTTAACCATTGTATTGCGCTGTCTCTTTTGATAAATGCATTTGTATGCATTTGGAGATGGGATCCTAAGAGAATGAGACTGCAGCAGGCTGTGGTTATATTCTCAGGCCCTACAGAGCCCTGTGGGCAGCAGCTGGAACGAACACTGCAGGAAGCTGTGGTTATTTTTGCTGGCCTGAAGGAGAAAAAAGTCCCCGAGTCACTCTAAGGCTGGCTGTCATTATGTAACCTCTTTCAAAAGACCGCTCAGTACTGAAGCCGAAAGAGCCAGAGAAAGAAAATCCTGTCAGATGCAGTTTAAACTAGCGGTGAAAAAAATATTCAAACATTTGCCAACAAGCAACACTATACGAAAAAGAGAATATAAAAAGAGACGAGTCACTCTGAGCACAGCGAATTTCCAAAGGTGAAAAGTGACAAACGATACACTACCTCTCAAACGATACACTACGTCTCATTTCTTCCATGCTAAAAAGTAATATTACACTGGAAGGAACAAGATTTCCCTGAAATTACATTTTCTCCCTATTCTAAAGTAGAGTAGAGGTGTAAAAGTACATCACAGGTTTGTAATGCAGCGATCTGAAAGTGGCAATTCAACTGCATCACTTTTGAACGCTAAAATCAACTCTAATTTATTTTAATATTCGGTAAACATATACACACACTTTTGACAAAATTTAAATCCTCATGCTATTTTCAAACTATTCAAAAATGTACTATATTTTTGTTATGTGTTGTTTCTTTTTTCCAAATTCTGCTACTGAACAAATAAACAGATGCTCCAGTTACACAGGTATAAAAAATATTCTGAACATTCTGCATGCATTAAGAGGTGGGGCTGAGGGGGACTTCACGATTGTTCAACTATAACTGCCAAAAATAATTAAAAATAATCAGAGCATGGTAATAATAACCTGAGCATAGTAAAGACCTATGTGTGCATGTTTTATTGTGGAGTCTCCATGTTTTATCTATGTATTTTCATAACGTGCCATGGAAATACACTGTTTAAGTCATTATAGTGAACTGAATCGATTTTCTTGTCAACTCTTGGCTGCTTCGGGCGCGTGTAGCTAAAATACAAAAACTGTGTATGAAGAGGCTGATTCTGCACCTTAAAATGACCTAATTTTGCTTTTTACAACTTAAACATAATAATAATTGCCCATGTTTTCAACACATTATTGTTTTCCAACCATTATATCTTCCGCTTCATGTGTGTTCAAGTATACTCAGCATGTAGCTTGATTATGGGTGTGATACAGTTGGTCACTGTTCCACTATTAACAATCTGTTCAGCTAATCTGCATACAGTTTGTCCTGAAGGAGAGAGAGCAGAGTGAGCAGGGTGTCATTTATGTACTGCATAACTGCATAATTTTCAGCACCTCCAGCACAAAACACCTTCCAACTCCCCTAATTCTCAATGACTTGATGAAGTCTGAGATTTCATGATGCGCTGTGTCTTGATGCACTATAATCAAATCAAATCATTCAGTGATTTGCAGCCCGAGTGTGAAGTGTTCTCTGTGTGCCTCACCTCCACAGCAGATGATGGCGGCCACGAACAGTGCCAGGTCGCTGTCGTCTAGCTGCAGTGCATTGAAGCGCATGGCGAACTGGAACTTGGGCTCCATCATGTCACTGAAGGGCCGGCGGAGACTCTTAAGGAACTCACGAGTGATGAATCCTCTACCGTGGGCCACCAGCAGCCCATCCTTATTCATGCAGGAGGCCAGAAGGGTGAAGAAGGCCTCATGCACGCCGTACTTCAGCAATGTCACCTGGTCATTTAGATCCAGGCTAGCAAAGCCTGGCACGGCCTTGGCAAACTCAGTCAGCTGGGTGACGGTTTCCACCGAGGTGTGCTGGCAGCAACGAAAGAGACGGGACTCGGTCTCTCGCTCCTGCAGAGCACTCACCAAGCCGTCCTTCCCCTCTCCCAGCATCTGAGTGGCCAGGATCTGCTGCGCCTGCTGCAGAGTGTCCAGGTCATGGATGACAAAAGGCTGATGAAGGACAAGGAACAAGTGAGGTGAGGGAACACAAAAGGGTTTCAATACATCAGTCCTGTAGCATCTCTGCCCTGCACATTTCGCTGTTTTCCCTACTTTACCACACCTGATCCAAATAATCAGCCAATGAAACCCATAGATTGCAAATGCCTGTATGAAGATCCAATTCCTCATTTTCATAAATGCATAAAATATCATTTTCATAAAAGTAAATGAAGAATAAGTCTGCAGTTTAAGGGTTGCTCATATAACTGCACTATGACTAGTTGGAAGAACTGTATCTCATAACTACTATGAATAGATCTCAGTGTGTGAACATAACATAGTTATAAGCTATGTAATGTTAATGATGAAAACAACTGTTTGATTATTGCTGAAGTCTTTTCAATAAGTCAAAACAGAGCTGCCAAAAATAAAAACAGTTACCACAAACTACATACATTTTACAAGTTATGTTCCTACAATATCCAGAGTTCTTGACAACAGAGATTGGCTTGTCACGGCAACAAATTTAATTATCATCAGTTGTACTTCAGCACTATCATGCTCATTTTTTTGTCATTTCAAAAACAGTGGCTACAGATGCCGTGAGTGTGCTTGCAGGCACCTTACTTTCTATTTCTGCTATTTTTCTCTGTATCGAGCAGGACGTTTTCAAATAGTAAATCAAATCTGCAATGTTCTGCAAAGTTCTTGGGCATATACCCTCTCTTGATATTTAGCCGAACAATGATTACAAATTGCTTTTCTAAAATCTCTTGTAGAAGCTATGAAATGGTTCCACACAGCCAACATTATCACTGTTGATCTGTTGCAACTTAAACTGTTTGAACATATCTACACTGAGCAGCAAAGGAAAAAAGTGAACATTTCTAATGGTTAGATTTTGTGCTTTTTCTGTGGAAATGTTTAGCCTTTTTTCTCTTTTGACCATATTTTGTGCCAATTTTGATTATTTTTTGCCAAAAAAATTCTTACTCACAGGTGTGCTGGTCTTGCCAGCAAGAAAGATTTGTGATTTGGCCTTGCTCATGTGAAAGTGTTTGAGGTAGGCCTCATGGATCTGCCTGGCTAGAGTCTTCAGATCAGCCAGCTGGGTCTGTCCTTCCTCCGTCTCACCAATCTGCAGCTCTGCTCTCAGCTTCAGCTTCTCTGAGCGAGGCATCCGCCCAAAACGGATAGCTACGAGAAAGACAAACATATTAGCTAAAAATAAAAAAAAAACTTTAAACATACCTATTTACTTTTTATATATAGAATTTGCCTTCTCTTAAATTTTAACAATGCATTGAGACAAATTAGCGTTCTTGTGGGCAGTTTCATTTTCAGTGGCAGTGATATAAAAAAAAATTTAAATGAGAGAAAAATCTTATGATTTTTGAGATTTGTAACAAGTCCTTTGAGGGTCCAAAGCAAAATGTAAGGAGTAAAAAATATCTTTATTCCCTTAGAAATGTAAATGAGTAAGAGTATTCAATTTCACTAATACCTGAGTGCATATCGTCCAAAATAATACTTAAGTACAGCAACAAAGCACTATCATTCAAGTATTTTCCACCTCTTGGAATGAAATAAATTACATTAACATAATTATAGCCAAAAGACATAAACTGAAAGACAAAAATATATATTTTATTTATGTTGAGCCAATTTAAGTCAAATACCATATTATGTACAGCTGTATGCAAAAGCTTGAACACCGCCAGACAAATTACGTGTTTCACTGGTTTTCTGAATATTTTAGTGCACAATTTCTATTTATTTGCTGGGTTTAATATCTTGCAAAAAATTAAAACATAAAATATAAAAGTGCCATAACTTTTGCACAGATTTATGTTTTATTTTTTTCAATATGCTAAATTCTGCAAATAAACATAAATTATGCATTCAAATGCACAGAAGTGTGTTTTCTATCGAGGATATTTTAACTTATTTTCACTTAGAAAATCAACAAAACATGTCATTTGACCAGGGGTGCCCAAACTTTTTGTGTAAACGTAGATTGTGTATACGTGCTGCACATAGAAAGTAACACACACACACTATATAGAAGTGTGCTAGGTGACCATGCACTTGACACTACAGCTCTGAAGGGACAAAGGGCAGCAGTGGGGAAATAGGCTTAGATGGTGTGATGTGATGTAAACCTGGACTCAGAGTGAAGCGCACTGGCTGTTTTCAGTGTCTGCACATGTGTCTGTATGAAAACATTACATGTATAATTCAAGGACAGTCTAGAGTACAGAGGGGAGGGAAGTACTAACGGCAAGTTTTGTAATGTAAAATTATCCCAGGCCCACGTTACCAGACTCCATTATCCTCAATGAATTGACAAAGTAAAAGTCCTACAGCAGCAGAGGGCAATGTATTTCCACGTCATCCAGGTCACCTGCACTTGCTCAAAAAGTGTCTATTCTATTTAGCTAGACCTACGGTATATAGAATCGTATTCAGAAAAATGCTAACGTCATGCTTATAGTGCAGATAACTAATGTTTGGATAGACACACCACAAAAACAAATACTGGCAGTAAGTGAGCAGGTTAATTTTTAATTCCATGTTTAAAATGTGTTAGTTTAATAACTTTTTTCCCACCCAAATTGTTCCATACTGCCATACACCAAACCAATTTTGATAACCAACATTTCACAAGCAATGTTACTAGTTCAAACAAATGGTATAAAGTGCATAATCACTGCACAACATATTGTTTATAATGGAAAGTGATTTCATCTGGATGTTATGACCAATAAAGTAATCTAAGGGCTTATACAGCTATGAGATTGCAGTATAACTCTATAAATGCATAATGGATATCTCTGTTGAAAGGCTGAGGCTGGCAGGGCTCTCACCGTTATGGGACATGCCCACAGCGAGGCACTTGTGGAAGCGGCAGTATTGGCACTTGTTCCGGTTCTTCTTCTGGATCTTACATCTGCGCTCGCACTTGTCATACTCCAGCTTGAGGCGTATGGTTCTTCTGAAGAACCCCTGTGGAGAATTCATACAGGGACTTGTTTCTCAACTGGTTTTGATTTATGGGGTCAATATCAACATGATATCACTTCAATGATGAGCGGCTACTTACAACCCTGGGTAGTAAAGTGGCCTGATATGGTGTTCTGTACACTGCCCTCATGATAAGGCACATCGTACTATAGATGAGTCACTGATTAGCACATTGATCACCTCGAGTAAATAAAGTTTACTTTGCAAGGGAACTGAAATTATATCCACGTGCAAACACAGAGCCTCTACTAACATCCTAAAGAGTATTTCATACTCCTGATGTGTCAGCTGCTAAACCTTCCAGCATCACATAGTTGCAGAATATATAATCCACAGTATGCAAACGTTTAAACACTCCCAGTCAAATTAGGTGTTTTGTAGATTTTGTAAAGGAAAATTATTATTTATATTTATATTATTACTTATATTTATTCTCTTGGAAATGTAATTGAGTATTCAATATTGAGTATTCAATTTTAATAATACTTAAGTAAAAATCTGCCAAAGTAATTCATAAGTATACAAGTACACACACACACAGACACACACAGGTCTATACAGTGAAACGTCCAACCCACACGCTCAAACACACACACATACATAGCTACTCCATGTAGACATAGTATGTACAGTCATATGCACAAGTTTGAACGTCTCCAAAATACAAGTGAAAATAAGTATAGAAAGTGTGTGCAAGGCACAGGGAACAGAGTAAAGAATGAGTTATTATATTTTATGTAAGTGTTTAACATATAAAAAAGCAAATAGGGAAAAAATGGTACAAGCAGCATGTTGTTTTTCCACCAAAATAAGTATTCGGACATTATCTACAACAAATAGACATAATAAACAATGTTATATGCATTTTGTTCTATACAGTTATTTTTATTTACACTGTTTAACTGTTTTATTTAACCTCTTAACATCTCAGGCTTTTTACATACTAAGACTTAGAAATCAGTAACTACAGGGTCTTCAATGCAAACCACATACAAAGAAATTTAAGGAAAGCGCATAAGCACAACTTGAAATATATACAAAAGGTGCTACATAAAAAAACATTCTTCTTATTAAAGTTATTCACAGTTTAATCCATGATGTCATAAAACATGGAACATTTAAACGGACAGTTTTAGAACTGCTAAGCTTCAAGTTTGGCCTAATATGCCTTCAGATGATACAATAATCACTGCTACACTGAGCTGCTTTGCAGTGATGCAATGTTTAGTACCATGTTCGGTCCTTTTCATTCTCCTGCTGTTATCTAAAAGTAAGCAGTAATGCATGCGTGGGTGTTTATTTTGCTGCCACAGACTCCTCCCATTCGATTTCATTAAGCTTTGTTATTACACTCTGCAGTTAGTACCAAAGCAGCTATTATGCTGTTCTGGCTTTAAAAGGGCCTTTTGGACTCTGGCTATCTTCAATTACTCTGCTTCTTTCATCATACTTTCACACACCTGAACTAAAGCATGACACGGAAGTTCAAAGCAGACAGCAGCTGGTCCTGTTTGATGAAAATATTATATTTTTTAGTGGCACTAATTTACCAATTTTTCTTATTTTCTCTGGGTGTAGCTCTCTGTGCAAATGAAATGAGTACGAGTTCTGGAATCTCCACTTGTGTTTTGGCACATGCTGAATTTGAAGTTCCTGCAATTAACAGCTATAACAGCGTGAGGGCCTATGTCTGAGTTTTCTAGCTGAAGCCACTGTAAATGAACAATTTTTCGGTGTTTGTGTGCAGTTTTGGCTCAGGTTTTGTTTGCATGTCTCTACTGCAGCACCAAGCAATCAAACATTATCGATTAATTCCTTCCTTGTACAGATTCCACTGCATCATTAGTACGTCCAAGTCAATGAACGGAAATTAGGTTGAGTGACTCTTCTGATATGGCACTCTTTCCAAGTGTGTTTAAGGTCAGGCCGTCGGGAATGTTTGAGGAAAGGGTTGGCGCAGAGAGGCAGGCCAATAGAAATAGGCAATATCAGTGCACAAATTGCTGCACTTTAGTCTCTAGTTTGTGATAAAACGAGTGTTTGAGCTCGAACGATATGATGTAGCAGATACCCTAAAGTTGTATGGTGTGTTTGGGCGGAGAGGGGGCTGGGCAACACACGTCAGACTTCATATTAGCGTCTATTCTTGAGATAGACACTCAATACCAACTGGCTCAGTACCAGCACTCCATTATGTGTGTGAAGGGTCAATGTTACAACACAGAGCTTAGAACACTTTATAGGCATGCTGTTCAAGAACACATGCTTGTCCATGGAAACACACACTTAACAACAGCACATGGTACAGTGGACAGAGGGCTATAAATGTGCCTCTGATGCATTCTTAACATGGTCATCATACCGGTGATTAAAATGAACAGCACTAATCCTTAAATATCCATTAAGGACACATCGTCCATTTCCTCTGATTAACTGCAAATATATCTCTATCCAATAGTAATGTAAGGCTAGTTTTACACAGTGAGGCTTTCATGCAACTAATCGCATCTTGTGAGTTGCATGCACCATCATTTTTGTGCAACTTGAACTGTTAGGCTGGCTTTACATAGTGAAACTTTCATGCAACTTAGATTTGGTTAATGGGTGGTTGAAAAGTAGATTGCTCCCCTTGCCAGCTGACTCAAGGTTGGTAGTTTTTCATTTTGTCAGTTCCGTGAGCCACGACAAAGCTGCATTTATTAGCCAGCTAATGATGATAGCTGTTTAAATGGCTGATTGTGCCACCATTAATTCTTCTAACCTGCTGTTAAAGCGATTCATGTAGCTAGATTCATTTTGTGCTCTCTTGACCCCAGGCTAATTTTACACAGAGTTCAGATTCATTTGGGATACAAAGGATGAAAATTATTACAGAAGTGGAGACGGAGATGCACTCCTCAATGAACTTGTGCTTCTAGGACAGGATGAGCGAGGCATAACATATACACATCAGATAAAAACTCAAATATATAGTAAAGAACCGGAGATAGATAGATAAATGACAGACAACTGACATTCGTGTAGCTGTCAAGTTACACCTAAATTGTGTTGCACGCAACTTACAACATGCAACTAATTTACCATGCAAAGCCAGTCTTACACGAAGCAATTCAAAAACAATCAAAGTTGCAAGACACTACTAGTTAAGCAACTGGTATTCTTTAATAATTGCACTGTTCTTGCTATATAAAGTATATCTGCAATGCAATACATCTGCATATTTGCAGCATTTTTACCATATTTGTATATTTTGTCCAGCTATCATTGCCTCTATATACATTCCCTGTACATTTATTTTTTATTTACTTTTATTCTATCAAAAAACAATTTAATACAGAAATTAAAATTGTTAAAACTGCAAATGTGCAAAAACATCCTGTTTTGAACTCACTGCTTTCAATCTAGGGCAGTTAATCCATCATTCTCGTTGTTTTAGCCTAGACTGCTTTTTGAATGAGGCCCAATGCAGAGCAGCCTATCAGAACAGAGGTGATTTACATATATCTGTCTTAAAGGCACTGTAACAAAACAGCCTGTTTAAAGAAAGAGATAAAGAGAGGTTGGAAAATGTTATTATAAGAAATAATTATGACTGGTTTTGGTTAATAAACTTACACAAATGTTATTAGGTGGAAATACAAAAAAGTGTGATATGGCACCTTTAATCAAGTATTGGTTAAGATGGTAAACAAAAACCCTGGTCTGTCACAAGCAGAGGTTTGGAAATTCATAAGTTAACACATTAATACAAAAATATCAATTTACTGCATTAATGTCTGTGTTTATTCTGCTGTACATGTTGTTTTTATGTTTGGTCAAGTTTTTTTGCAAATAAATGCTAACTGCTCAGATAAACAGCTTTGAATATCATTTTCTCAGGTCTGCACACTACTGTATTTAGGTAGTTGGGTTTGTTTTGTATATATGAAGTACTAACACTAAAACACAATAAACTCCATGACTCTTGTACTTGTTGCTCTCATATTCAAGATACAGTGATAACAAAGCAGATAACTAATGTTATCACAAGGAGCAACACAGATTGTAGTAAACCACAAAACCCATGCTCCTCTCAAAGTCAACACAGCTTCAATCTTGAAAAAGTACCCAGCAAAAATAAACCTGGGACCGGTGGGCTTAAGATGAGGGGAAGCGGGAGGCTGGAACACAAAGTTAACATGAACTTCCCCATCCACTTCTCTACAGACCTGAACCAGCAATGTGCTGAGATTTGAGCTGAGATTTGAAGACTCTGATGACAAACTGTTTCCTGATAGATGCAGTAGAAAAGCCCTTTCCAGGAGTGGGAGGACAATCACCAGAAGAGTTTGCTTCTTTTTCCTAACATGTGCGAGAAATGTGTGTGTGTGTGTGTGTGTGTATATATTAAAACTGTTTGCATGAAAAGTGCTCCAAGTAGAATAACAGCGCTCTCAAGGACAAACAAGTTGACTTGGATATGATGCTTAGATCATCAAGAAACCATGAAGAAAATATTTAATTCTGTCTTTAGATTTACTTACTTTTGGTCACGATTAAGTTGATGTTATGTATTTCATTCACGTGTAAATAATGTACATTTTTGAAGCACATAATGGTACCACTTTACAATAACTACAATAATTCAGAATAATTTTACAATAACTACCCTTATAAAGGGTTTATGAATGGGTTAAAATTGGTTTATGTATGTTTATTAATTGATAAACACCTTAAAATCATTAACAAGCACCTTAAAAATAACAGTCACACATAAATAAAAGGGCAACTTTGAACTGTTATATCCAATGATCATAAATATCAGATGAAGCTGACAGGTTTAATGCTGACTGATGGAGAAGACTAGTAAACAGCAAGATCTGAGATTTAACAGTATAGATGAATGTGGGTTCACTTGGCAAGCAGCAGTTCACTGTTGCATTTTTGTGTCATTACTACTTGTTCATATTTTTTAATGTGTGTATGATCTAATTAATATCCATTACCGAACTATTTTTGAACCATTCATTAACCTGTACAAAGGTACTCTTGTTGTAAAGTGGTACCATTTAATGCATTATTTTTCAATATAGTAATAAATGACTTGTACTATAAGAGAGATGACAAACATCGAAAGCCCAACAACCTCTGTTTGGCTGACTCACTGTAGTCGACAGTGTTTCACTTTACTGTTACGGAGCAAAGATATTCCATGACGCTTCAGCTTTAGCCACTAAGGTTATGCCAAAGGCAAAAAGACACTAAAACCAGTCCCCCCTCCGCACCCAAGACACTGCATGTGATTTCTCTACTCCAAATGGATTTAAGCTTTCCACTTATTCACACTTTTACCATGACATGTCTGAATTCTTGGGAGTCTAATTAGTTATAGTGGGATGAAAAAAAATCAATGGAAAGAGTTTACAATGCACATATTAAACGCAAACAGGATGACGTATGCTGCATTTACATCACAGGATGGACCCGTGCCAACGAGGGGAAAAGTGGCACATCGACAGAGGTCGGAGTGCCCTCCCTCTCACATGCCTCAGACTTTTCCACTGACCTTGAATGCAGTCACACTGTGTCTATGTATATATGTGTATGTGTGTGATTACCTTGCACCCCTCACAGGCATGCACTCCATAGTGGAAGCCAGAGGCACGATCAGCACACACGCGACACTCAAGTTTTAACGGGCTGGAGGTGATTTCATCCTGCCCTGGAACCGCTCCAAACACTGTAGAGGATGGACTAGAGGCTGGGCTCGGGACATCTAGAGAGGACACACAGACAGACTTTAAAGTCCCAGGGAACACAGAGTAAGATATTAAAACGTTTGTATGATAATGTGAGGTTATATTAAACATCCATTAAAGTTTGAATGTAGATACAAATATGATAAAACGCAGCTTAAACCCGCTGATCTGACCCATCTGAGAACTCTGTGGGCATGTTTCCAATATTCTAATGAGCAAGTGTGATTGACATTCCTCTAATGCTCCCAGCCTGCTATACTACAGACGCAGGACTAAACACAACAACGCACGCAGGAAGAAATGAGTTAAACAGGTTCTACATATGCAGGTCATGTTGTAGACCCAGCTGTCTCCAAGGCTCAGTAAAAACATTATCCAGCTTTTATGCGGTGACGTCTTAAAGAAGATAAGATTCTGTTCATATTTACTTTATTTCTGGATGTGCATCCAGAGAATGCTAGCATGGCCAGTTGAACGAATGGAAGATCGAAGGAAATGGACGGATGAGCTAGCTTCATTAGCTGGTGTCCTCTGCTCGGTTGTTAGCTTTTGCTCACCAAATCGTCACCAAATTTTGTTAAAGTTGTGCAGGGACAAGCCACATCAGCCCAGTGATTGGTAAGAGTAATAATTATGAAAGTATTACCCAAGATTAGGACTGCCCAGTTTACATTAAAAGGGAATTTTGGTGAACTACATTGGTCAATTAGACATAGCAGACATAGGAATGTTTTCACAGGAGCCCAAAATAGGAGGACACAAAGTTAGGTTCCCTGATTAACATACAAAACGAAAAATCTCAAGATTAATTGCAATTGCATTTTATGTTGAGGTAACAATACCCATACTTGCTGTCTCTCCTCCTCTCCTGTTTGACTGAATGGAAATTCAACATAAAAAAACAAGTTCACACAATGATTTTTAGGTACAGCCTTAAACAGCTTGCCTGCTATGCCTTGAGTGAATGAGATGAATCTGACAGATTTCACTTATTTTCAATGTTCACATTAAATGTCAAGTTTCAAGTATAAAGTTTCAATACTTTATTGCCATTTCAGTCAGTACTTGATTAAGAGGATTTTGTTGGTGCTGCTCAAACACACAAACAATATACACTCATTAATAAAACATCTATAATCTCAATAAAATAACAAACACTGGCATAAATTAAAATACACAAAGTTAAGATTGTGAAGTGGAATTCAAAAGTTTGATAGCAGAAGGGTAGGTACTGTTACTGAACTGAGATGTTCTATATAAGATGCTTTGAAATCTCCACAAGCAAGCTTTTTAAAAAGGTACTGTGCTGGTTGTGAGCTATCTGCATAGATTTTTAATGCTTTCTTTTCCATCCTTTTGGCATATAGAGAAGCAACAGATGGAAGTTCGCAACCAATGATTTTGGAGGCAGTATGCACTACTTTCTCTAGCCCCTCTCTCTCATATGCTGTTGTACTAACATACCACATATGGAGAAGGTCAACACACTTTCCACAATAGCCCTATAAAAACATAGCACACAGTCTCTAGTCACACCAAAGTTCTTGAGCTGTCTTATAAAGAAAAGCCTTTGGTGAGTAATATTGCTCTCCCACTTAAGAGATGAGCCCAAAGAACCCAAAATAGGCAACCCTCTCCACTCCCTGATGGTCAGAGGTGGTAGGCCCCCCCCCTACATCTCCTGAAGTCAACAACCAACCAATGTTTCCAATATTCAGGCACCAGTACTGAGAATTCGAGGAGTGGAAACCACATTTTTCATTCTAACAACCTGCTTTCTATTAGACAGAAAATGAAATGTGTTTTCCATAAGCAACATACACAATACCAGTACACATACAGCACAACTGCAAAAGATGTGCTGATAAATGAAGAAAACTTCTATTAGCCATTCTACAGCTTGGATATTTGGAATTAGTTTCTTGCCATACTTCAGCCATGGCAGGATGGAAATTAAAGTCTTTTTTCAGAGCATATTTAAGGGCATGTTAGATCATGGAATTTTCAGGTAAAGTATGAGTGAGTATGTGTGTTTATCTCAAGAGAACATGTAAAACTCCTAAAAGCCCACTGTCACTGTCCTAAGAAACCCTGTATCTCTGAAAAAAGTGTTCTTAACATCTGTGAAGTAGAGGTTTATGGTTGCTTTTCAAAATTTCTATTAGTCCACGAGTCATGATATATTAACACACTGTACAGGGAGGTTTTCAAATAGCAAAAGAAACAAAAATGTGATCATTTACTTGGAGTTGGAGAATTAGATGAAAGCCTAGCTACGATTGTGTATGTGTGCATGTGTGTGATGTGTATGTATATGTGTTCTTTGTATAAGTACCCAGAGTAATGGAGCTTTCAGGGCTGGTGTTGGTGCCTTGGCAGTCGGGCAGGTAGAGCAGATTTAAGGTGTCATCGTTGAGGGAGCAGGAGATGTCCTCCAGCTCCTCCATGTTCATGATCAGCTCTCCATACAGTGGGCTGTCCAACACTGGGTCCCCCACAGGAGACAATGGACTGAACAGACTGGGCACATCCACCATGGCGCCGGACCACGGCAAGTACTGAAACACGCATTAGACTGCAAAGAGAGAGAGAAAATATGTACTCACTTTCACACAGCTGCTATTTTCACTTAGCTGCACCAAGATGCATCAATCTGAGTGAAGCAACTCAATTGCACCAATTTTGGAACGTTCAATATAATCAATTGTAATGATATTCAATATGGTATGCACTCATTGTTAGTCAAACAAAATTCTCAGACTATTTTCAAATAGTAAAAAGTTTGGTGCACTGTTTTTATTAGGGGTACCATGAATTGAATTGATTCTCAATAATGAGTTCACGATTCTGTGTTCTCACAATATTTTGAACAAAATTTAAATAAACATAAATAAAGAGTATAATAAATGTTATAAATAACATTTCTGACAGTTTCAGCCTATATTACTTATACAAGAAACATACGTTTTTTCAAATAAGAACGTTTTAGAATTCTACAAGGCTGATGTTGGCTTCTTATTGGGCAGATTTTAATTAGAATTTCCTGTCCCATCTTTAATGGAGCAGCAGTTACATTCTGGTACCTGTACAGGTGCTTCAATGTAACTCCAGCACCATTTACAGTGGAACAAAAATTCTGAATCAGAGCAGGAATACTGAATTAAATTCACAGAAGTCATTTGTCTCAAACACACATCCCATTTACTTGTGCCTCTGACCACCACACAGTGCTGGAATTTGGAAAACATTCCAGTTATACAACTATCAGTACCAAAAGGCCGGCCACTGATTTAAGTCCACCGCCTTGAAAACACGCCTTGGACTACTTTCAGAGGCAGTGGACTAGATGATGGAAGGTGATTGAGAGATTGGAAATTTTGATTTTCATTTGAAACATACCTGAAACATCCCTGACTCAGGAACTGAGGTAAAAAGGCTAATGTTAGCATGGTTTGTAGCATGTTATCTGCGGCTTGTGGCTTCCTGGTATAACAGTTATGACAAAACTCTGGAGAAGAATTTCAACCAGTATACTAGTTAAACTGATAAATCACCAACTACTAGACACTAGAACTGAAAACTTCACACAATGGAAAGGGAAGCTGCTGAGCTCAAATTATGCGGAAAACTAAAAATTGCAAAAAAAATGATATATATATATTTTTTTGGACAGCGACAATATGCATTCTCCACAAGACATTGCCACAGTTGTGAACTGCCATATCATTGCAATATTATGTCCCTACTTTTCCTAGTTTGTATAGTCTGTATTCCACTACTATGCAAATTGTTCCTACAGTTAAATAGCTGAACAGAACTGTGGTGAAATGATACACTGACTCGTTTCCTAAAAAGCTGTAACCAAAACAAAATTTAAATGCTTAGTAAATAAGTTACGGTAAACATAAACAAGTTTTTTTTATATTTAGATTCCTCATGCCAAATGGTACCACAGTGGTTCAACAACCTCTCAACCACCCTGGACCTGATCAGTGCTGATTTCTCTCTCTGCAGGGGTGACAGAGTTGTTGAGGAGAACTTTGCATGTTTGCTTTCAGAAGATCACTGTGCTAGGCTTGGCTCACCGTGCCCATGGTCTAAACACAGGAGTGTTACAGCACCTTATCTCACACACTGACCAAAGGTGAAGTGCTTCACGGATTAGGGCACAATAGAGATGAGGGAGGTCTAGAGAGAGCTATGACCATGATCCCCTAAAGTGGACTTAGTACCCCTAGGTAAGTAACAAAATGGTCCTTTTAGTACAGGTTAATTGCATGTGAGTGGAGCCGAATTGGTTGCATATTCTTCGTTCTTGCACTACATTCACACTACATTCACGTTACATTCACTTTCTCCCTGTCTCTGTCTCTCTCTCTCTTACATGCTCACACATGCAATCAAGGCCAGAAACATTCAGTGGCTATGGTAAAACTTGATTGAATAAAGCAAAAAATCTGAACTTATGCCTCACTGAGGAATTCAACTGAAAGGAACTGAACTGATCCAGTCAAACACGTACATAATAAAATATATTACACTGTCACAGGTATATCTTCCATGGCAGTAACTGTAATACATGTAATATATTTCATTCATATGTACATGATGTTTACAGTTGCATCACTTTTGTTAATACACATTATACTGAAATTCATTTTACTGTTTTAAAGACTTGGTGTGATATGATCTGGTCCATCCCACAGGCACTAAAGAAGACTGCAATCACATGACTGAACGGTGAGTAAAACTGGGCCACGACGTGATGGAAAATACATCCTGAATCCATCGAAAATAAATATACACCGTCATCAGGAAACATTCTGCTGCTGCATCATCTGACTGAAAAGACTTGGCCACAGCTCCTGCCTTTCCGAAGCTGCCTTCGGCAGGATCTTGCGAGTGAAAATGACCTGGAGTTTTTTAAACTCCCCCATCTCTGACAGACGGGTGCGACCCAGCTGCTAACATCTTCCCCTGCTCCAGCTGTTGGAGCAATCTTAAAGCAGAGCTGAAGCAATATCGTTCCATGAACAGAAGAGTCTGCTGCTTTCGAGAGCGGCTGTGTCAAACACATGCAGACATATGTTGCAACACTGCATTCCCACCGGAGACCCACGCAGACAACCATATTGCTTAGAAATGTAGGTCAGTGACTAGGCAGTGGTGGGTGCGTGGTAGGAAGTACGCTGGCATAAAATGTAATGTTTTGCGCAGACTTTCAAACGAGCATATTTCAAAATCACTGCAAGCAAGTCTTTTGCTGCCTTCAAAGTCCTCATCGGAAGGTCCTATTTAGGACTTTGGAGGTCGTAAATACGACATGATCTTTGTTCAAGTGGTTTTGGTCAAAACCAGATGGACATACTGAGAACAATGCTTTTTTGTTTACTTTTGTTTTTTTCTGTGGTCAAAGAGACTAAGTTTATTTCGTGCTACTGCAACAAAATAAAAAGCAGAGGAAAGTCGGGGTTCATTGAAAAGTTTTCTACTCATAATTACGACATGGCGGCGTTCATGTGCACTCATCTTGGAAATACGATATTTCCGACATGACTTAAAGGCAGCAATACCCACAGCTTTAGCGAGTTATCTGTAATGACGGAGAAAAGTACAGACAAAATTTAGACTTTAAGATGGTTGCTAATATTGTTTTAAACTATGTTATGTACTTTTGCTCATTTTTATAGATAACAGTATGTCACACAGAGTCAGAAACCACATAAAAAGTCTGTTTGAGATTACTTAACTCAAAGCAGTTTAAGGAAAGTGTGCATCTATTTAGTAGGGTCACATTGCATTTTTCTGCTTGTGATTAGCATAGTAACTGTCAGCTGTGCTAGCAAGCTAAAGTTTTGATATGTAAAGGCAGAAAGCTCTGGTACTTGTCTTATAAAGTGATCCACTATTAACAAGGAAGTGTGGTACTGCTAGAAAAAAGCTCAAAAGCTAAAATCTTTCCAAAAAACTCCTTTTTTGTTTATGTCACAGTATTTTTAATGCACGACATTATACAGTTCATGGAACTTAACAACTGCAAGCACTAATTCATCCTTCATTATAACTTTCACTGAAGTCCCACTTTCCATTTGATTTGATTGGTTAGCACAGAAAAAATGCCCATCACATTAGCTGCGTGACTGGTTGGAATTAAAAAATGTTTAAATTCAGGGGGACTGGAATGCTCCACACAGAAGACAGCTATGCAGTGCGCACAAAACCACGAGGCGCCCAGCATGCAAAAACTGTTCCTCACTGAAAACATACTCCCCTCTAAAGTATGTTGTTTGTACAATGCTAATTGGTGGGTATTAGCTTCCATTACTTGTTAGCCCTGTATCGCCAGTGTAAAACTGACGAAACAAACTTCGGACCCCAAACATGTCTTGTCTGATTGAGTACATGTGGGATAAGGAGAAAATTGTGTAGATTTGTTTTTCACAAAACTACTTCTTCAGATGTAATCAAGTTATGTTTGGTTTGTAGTTCCACTGACAATTTTATTTACTGTCCAAATTGACCAGTTAACCGTTTCTTCTGTGTTTTTACGCGCAATGTTGTCTGTAAAATAGCGGTAAGTATCAAAAAAGTGTTTTTTGGGTACTATTTTGCCTTCAATACCCTGCATGTACCTCTCCACCATGACTGGATTTAAGAAATGCCTTTTAGGCTGAAACCTTATCTCTGAACTATTGTAAAACAGCATCTCAGTCATCAGGCAGCACATTCATAACCATTTCGTGTAATAGCTTTCTGTGATGGAGCTTTTAGAGACATTAGACATTCAGATGTCTGTATGTCTTTGTTTACCATTGCTTACCATTTAATTGTGCAGAATTATCTCTTAAATAAAATAAAATAAATAAAACAATAAAGGAATTGGGAAAAAAGAAAAAAAAGAAACAAGATGACACATACAGGGACAATGTCAGGGCAGTACACCAAAGGAGAAGTAGACGGGGTCGAGTGTGTAACATGCCAGACTATCGGACTCAGTCCAAATCAGAACTCTCTCTTACACACACACACACACACACACACACACAGACTCACGCGTGACTCCAGCCTCATGACACAGCACTGCGGCCAAGTACAGAGTAGGCCAACACCTCCAGCTGGACAGCGATGCCCCCTGCAGCCAGCAGAGCGGTTTATCAACACCATACAGTACATGGCTTACAACAGCTATATTTACACACACACACCCCACAGTCCACTCCTCCATCCTTCCAACCACAGATTCTTCTAGCTACCTGATATTCATCACACACACCCACACTTCAGTCATATTCATCTGACAGGTTTGTAACTGCCCTCTGTTCCACACCCCAATGGTCAGTTTTAAAAGTGCAACTGAACTGGGAACCCCTTAAAATCCTCACTCAAAACCACAAAACTTATATATTAGCTTAATTGTAGTTACTCAATAATTCATAGCAGTTACTTGAAGGTCTAAGTATTAAGACAAGTTTTTAAGAGGTTTAAACACAATAGAACTGCAAATGTAACATATAGTACTAGGGCTGGGAATTTCTAGGTACCTCACGATTCGATTCGATTACGATTCAGAGGGCTGCGATGCGATTATAAAACGATTATCGATGCATCTTTTTTTCTATACATGATTTCTATTTTCTTACTGTCTGAGGACTTGGTACTTTTAAAGCTAAGTATTTGTAATGATCCATAATGAATTTATGTCCAATATCTTTTATTAATAAAACAAATGAAAGTGATGTGGCAAGTGAACTGGAAGGCTCTCATTCACTGCTCTTGTTTTGAGACGCTGCTGCCACTCATCTCTGATCAAATGTGCTGTTACGGTGAAATAAGATCCAGTGGTAATGGATGTCCACGCAGTACATTATAGCCGTCCTACCCGTTTTCTTTAGTGATTTTATAACTTCGGTTTTGGTCTTGGGGTAGAGATTGTCGCTGTGCCAGTAAAATATCTTTGAGACGGGGCAAGAAAGCCCTGTTTCGCAACGACTGAGAATTGGCGTGCAGACTGCAGGTCACCTAGCAACGAGGTTTCGCCTGGCTAGTAGCGAACGAAAAAGGAAAAGAGAAAGACAAAAGAACATTTGGAGATGAATGGACTTATTCGTATTTATAAGCAACGAGAGACTGTCAAACACTAAAAAGTTGCGAAGATGAAGTCACTTCTCTTTCTAATTTTCCTGTTCCACCTTAAATGGTGCCACATTTACCTTCGGCGCCTCAGTCAGAATTTAAGGTGGAACGGGAAAGTTCAGCAAGAAGCTGGCGAATCAGAAGCAACTTCAGCCTTGTAAAACAGCCGAAAGCTGAGAAACGTTTTGCAAGAAACTATTCAACTTTTGAGGAAAGGTTTTCTGGCGGAGATGGAAGAAAAGCAGCTATAGCTAAAGCTTAAAGCAGAGCAGAGTAAGTCTGTGTTTTCATTTATATTGTTTAGTCTATACTAGGACATCAACACATACTGAGACATATTGGACATTAAATGTTGTGGCTCCCAAGGTGCACTTCCAAGTTCCGCCCTTTGCGTTCCGTCAACATTACGTTATGAATTAAATATTTAGAAAACCGATTTTTGGCGTTGAATGAATCGATTCAGAATCATCCACGTCCGCATCGCGATGCATCTAAGAATCATTTTTTCCCCACACCCCTATACAGTACTGTGCCAATGCACATGAGACCCTTCATTTATTTAATTTCTAGTCAAAAGTACAACTTATTAATTTCTCAAGAGATCAGAAAAAATTAGAAAATAGAGAAAATGCCTGGTCGTCCATCAAAAAATAAATAAAAATAAATAATATTTAACACTACATTTAGTTATCAAGGCTGCTCTGTAATATTTATGCTTTTTTCCTGACTCTGAAAACGAATAACTTAGTAGCTGTTTTTAACTGTAAATTAATTAAATGAAGCATGGTCTCTGATTTTTGCACAACACTGCATGCAGGAATGTCCACTAAGGATGTAATGAAACAAGAGAATAGTAATCACGTAGTCACACCATAACCTGTAATTCTACTGAGAATATCAGCACAGGCTGTATAAGACAGCTGTAGGGCTCCTCTTACACTCTTAAGCAAGAGACAGGGGAGACAGTTCACAAGACACACATACAAACACAGACACACACACATACTGAGACCATTCCCAGTGTGCAGCCAACACAGCCTACGTGCAGTAGAGGAAGGAGGCTGTGGAGGGTCAAAGCTGAGGGGACTGCTAAAGTAATAATGCTCTATTCAGCCTTTCTCCTCTCATTGTCCTCTCACTGCTGGCCTACCTGATTGTGCCTGAACAATACTTCAGGCCACGGGTATTTTTGGTAGCACAGGAACTGGAGGACAATTTAAGTCTCTGCCGCAAACCAACAATAACAACAACAACAACAACAACATAGACACATGCGACTTCTAAATGCACTTTAATACTGATCTCATATAGATATTATCTCAAAAGCATGATAAATGGAACACACAGAGCTGATTAATACAGCAGAGTGACTCCAACCAAAAAAGTCATGTACACAACAACAGATTAACTATTAATGACAGATTAATGATGATCAAAAAACAATTCAGCAAACTTTAACTGAAATGCAAAAGCAAAAAACAGACCACAAATCCACAGACACATGGTCACATAGACATCTGTTCTTTGGAGGGCAGCAAACAGACAGTCAAACTTGCTAGATTGTCAGGGTCAATGTCTCAAGCATCAGCCCACAGCTGAAGACTCCCTGAATGCACCTCTGTCTGAACTAGTAGCTCAAATGGGAAAATGGACAAGCAAAATCTACTTAAGTCTCATACTGAAGTTCAAAAAAGATTAACTAATGACAAAATTAAAGAGGTCAGCAATATTTCCCTTGTCTTAAAATAGTGGTTCTAAAACAATGACATTCCAGTCTTTGCACTGAAAGAGACCTGCTTCTCTTTTTCACATCCTCTATATGCTAAAAGAGCCTTACATGAGGAAAGAATTAACACACTTTAGCCCCACAGCCATGACCCAGCACTAGGACAGAGCAGAATGAAAGCAGCGCTTACCAGATCACTCTTCACGAGTCTGTTCTAGCAGCAGCAGCCAATAAATACACTGGCCTCGGCGGGGGCCAAAGTCCAAACCCCACACACTACTCTCCTGCCTCTCGCCGAGAAGCAGATTTCCTGGCGCCTTACCAATAGAAGAGGGCAAGCGAGACGTACTCGCATCTGATAAGATGGGCTTAATCGTAATACGCAAGCAGCCATAAAGGCTTAGATGCTTTTATTTCAACAATAGGAGCGGGATGGCCTTGAACACATCCTGATGTGCACCCTCTGAGACATCCTGACTGTTATGGACGGTCTGAGAAGTTTTTATAAAGGCCAGGTTTAAACTTAGCACTCTGAATGGTGTCAAAAAACCACTAGATAAATGTGAATGTATCGTGGTAGGGCATCTTACGTATTGTAGCGTTTACTGCTACTAAAGGATACATAGCTTATGCTCAAGAAGTTGTGCTTTATTAAAGAGCTGTAGTTGGCCACAGCCACGCCATACAATTAATCAAGGCTTTTGGCTAATGGCTCGTTCTACTCCCAGCTCACCTCTGCACTCTCTCGACTGACACCCAGTTCCTGTCTGCTCTGACACACATCCGATCAAAAGGGAACTAGCCCCACCTTCACATTAAGAGTCTTTGTCAGAATAAACCCAGGAGAATACCCAGAATAAACACGCAGAACATTTCTCAAACATACTACAATATAGAGAATATATAGCTATAGTCTACAGAGCTTGTACATGGGGAAAGGTGCAGTAGGAGACTCAGAATGGCCCAGCTGTTAGATCAACCAGCTCCTGTCCTCATTTAACCTGTACATATTTAAGGTCATGAGGTCATGTTTTGGCAACAGTGCTCTGCAGTATGCAGAGGAACCAACGACAGGATAGGAAGAAACCATTCAAAGGTGCACAATGACTCAGACACAATACGCGGCTCAGTAAGAGGAGAAGAGAGACAAGTGAGCAAGGTCACCTAAGAGCAGGTGGGTTTGTATTATGATTATAATAAATAGCAGGAACAATAACATCTGAAGATATGCTATATGCATCACCCTTAGTGTTTATGCAAGGCTCTCTACATGTGGAAAAAAATAAACTGAGGGTAGCTGGAAAAATCGTGTCTTATTAGACAACCCCCATTAATGCACATACACTTAATAATGCAGATTTTCAAATCAAATAAACTCAAATCAAAGAAAGTAACTGAAGCAGAAGAGAATGACTAAGCAGATGAGGTCCCTGCAGTCCTGTTCTAAGAAATACTGACTTATTAAATAAGACTTGGAGAGACAACTCTGTACTCTAATGAAGATACATTGGTTAATAATTTGGAACTGTTATCTGTTGAGTTAATTACAGGCAGGGAGGGAGATTTACAATGCCATGAATTAAAAAGTAATGACAAGAATATTAAGTATTAAATAATATTGCGTATTATTAAGTAATAATATAGTATTGCTTAAAAATAAATAAAAATAAAACACAGACTTGCAGTCCTTAAAACAGCCATAAGTCAACAGATTACTAATAAAATAAACGCCTAAGTAAACACTAATAAACAGTTTATTAAATAGATAACGTATTGCTTTCCATCGGTGCATCTACACATAGCAGCAAAACAGGTTGCTTGCATGTGTTGACATGAAGTACTGACAAAAATAGTGCTCATGGAAAATGACATTAGTATGTCACTAATAACTAATAAATAAAATGCGTTTTTTACGGATACATAGACAATAAAAAGTGGCCTAAATCAACAACCATGACGGTTTAAGAGTGCTATAACTTGGCAGTAACACTTCCTTAACTCAAAGGCTGTCCACTACTTGCTTATTACCCAAGTTCGCCACTACCTCAGTGAAGTTCGCCCAGTCCGCCCAGTCCGCGGTGCAGCGCTCCTTCAAAGTCCTTTTTTACCCCCGCCACCACCCCCCCCATTCCCGCCCCCACTGCTGTCAAAATACTCCGATCCAAAGCCGAACGAGCCGTTCAGGATGTGACGGTAAGACTGACGACGGCCATAACGCACACACCTCCACGTACACCGACCCGCACAGCCAATAGATACGCGTTAGACTACTACAAAGTAACGCCCCGGAGCGCTGCTTTAAACAGTTCCCACCCGCATTCCGGTAGGCCTCGCCTCGTGTTCTAGGATTGGCAGGCAGTTCGTACTCACGAGCAGCAGGTCAACAGCCGACCAATCAGAGAGCAGGAACCGTAATATTACTAGCCAATCGCGGCGCAGGAACGGTATTCGTCGGAATACAGGTAGAAAAACAAAACACGCCGAACACCTTTGATGTTTGACAACTAAGTGGAACTGTTGCTAAGCGACAGTTTGACTGCGCCGTACATCACACCATTCATAATGTTTCCTGAGCAAAACGCTATTCGCTGTCCCGATGGTAAGAAAATCTCTGAATACACCTGTGATCTCCAAAACGAGCAACGCCTGCGTTAAGTTCGTGATTCTGTATGATAAGCAGCGAGGTGTGTGCAGTTACTCCGGAGAACGCAGAAATCCCTTATCTGGGTGTGAGTGGACACCTGCTCACTATAAAATCATGACTTGTGCTGCCACCTGCTGATGCGTGCTAATGCAGCCCTCAGTCAAGCTTTATCTTTATGGGTCGACGTAATTGCGGAGCGTTAATTTATTTCTGTGCGTGTAAATATCGTAGAATCTGAGATAATGCATTGCATCTGCAGTTTAATGTAATGTAATACTGCTAGGTGATTTTAATTAAGATACTGTTCTATCCAGGATGAGATTAATTCACTTAGACATTTTCACTTTTGATTTATGGATTATGCAGGTTACTATGAGCTGTAACTGGAAGCTATTATTACTTAATAAAAACAAACTTTCTTATGTAACTACAGCTTAAGCCACACTGGATCTCTAGTTGCATATACTGCAATGCCATGGCAACAGGGTTATCATGAGCCTGTGTCAGTGCCGTCACTTTCAACCTGGCCCTCTGGCTCTCCTCTGGTGTGTGCCAGTCTCTGCGCGAGCCCCCTTGGATGCCCGCCAGTGCCCATAAATCCTGCAGCAGTAAAAGGCTGGTCAGCCTGCAGCCATGTAGCTGTTCTCTTAACACGGCCTAATGGCTGTCTGATGCCACGGCTATATTTTACTTACAGTACCAGCAGCTATGGGGAAAGCAGGAGACAGTTATGTACTACTTAGGGGGAACAACACTGGATGCTTTGCTGGAGACTGGTCAGTTTACATCCTCATCCTCCGAGTTATGGTCAGAATTAGGAATCATTTTGGCCATTACCCCCAAATCAGTAACTTTAACACAGACCTCAGGCACGTATTTGGTATATGAAAAAGAATTACAGCAGGCAACTGGTTGTGTCATATCTTTATTACTGATCTTCAGTTTACACTGCTGAAAGTCAAAAAACAATCATTCCTTCAAAATCTAAGTGAGAAAAAACTCTCCTCAAATGCATTATTACTCACTCATTTACTGGACTGGCTTGGTGTAATGTTGCCGTTGGTATCCAGTGCTGTATTGCTGCCCTTCAGGGAAGGCAGTAGGTTGTATAGTTATCTCCTGATGGGGCAAAATCACGACCCTGAAACCACACAACCTACTACCTCACCCTGTACGAACATCACCGCGGGGCTTCCCCACTGCTCAATAGATCCCATTTGGGCTCAGAGATGAGCAAACATCAGCAGAACCCAAAGGAGAGCTGCTCGGCACTCTTCTCTTCCACAGTGCCCAACAGAGACCAAACTGAAGTCAACACGCTGCAGGATATTCACTTTCAGTTTCCTATTAATCCATTATGTTCCGTATGAGGAGAAATAAATAAGTCTTTCACATTTAAAAATAAAGGTCCTGAAATGGTCCTTGGTATGAATGCATGGTGACTGGCATAAAACCTTCACATTATGTTGATCTTTAAAAAGGTTCTTCACACTTGCACGTTTTACAAAAATGGGTCTTTAAAGAACCATCCACTGAAAGGTATGTCGACATGTGGTTCTCTGATGGCACTGCCACAACAAAAAACACTTTCTGGAATCTTTGTCTTTGTGAGTGTACTTCAGCTAGTCCTTTATGCCTTTGTGTTGAGGTTCTTCACCAGCCGAGCTTCTCTTGATTGAAGGCATTACGGCCACTTCAGGAAAGACAGTAAGTTGTATAGTTATCTCACAGCAAGGGCTTAACCCTAAAACTATACAACCTACTACCTCACCCCAAAGGACAGTGTCTCTCCGCAGGGCGATAACAGCTGCCATTATCCAGCTTCAAGCACGCACACAGTGGCAGAAAGAGAATACTTACAAGAGTCCAACCGATGAGTGGTTCAGGTTGAATCCTACAGTGTTACATGGATGGTATACTGCATAACAGATGCATAAAATGCATTTATGCATTGCAACCTGCAGGTGGTGATTCAGGTGAGTTGATTTTGGAATGTAAGTTAAGTAATTAATGTTCAACAAAGTATGTGCTGACGTTTTGGCCAAAACAACAACACATTGTTGACTATATTCCACTACCTTGTAAATAATATCTCCAGTCAGTGCATTTTTAAAAATTACTTTAAATCATACCAAAATCATCAAATGGAATTGTGATATTTCATAATGCACCGAATAATTTTCTAAAGCAACATATTAATTGAATCATTATTAGATCTGCACTCTTTGTAATACATATTAGATTTTTTCAGTCATATACAAGATGTTATCTTAATTACATCAGTTTATTATTTAGATATAGATATGCTATAACCTAGATATGTTCAAGCAGTGTGAAACTGAATTCATAAGACATCTTTGTTCTAAGAAAACAATAAGCTGTGGACCAAACCTCTATTTTCTGCGGTGTCCTTATGTATGTATTAAAATACCACCTCAATCCAAAGCTCCTCTTCAACAGGGGCATGGTTTTGTGTACAAAAAAGACAATCGCTTCTCAGTGGACCATCTGTGGCAGAGACAGAGAGAAAAAGGTAGAGAGAAAAAGAGAGAGAGACAAAGAGAGAGAGAGAGAGAAGACTGGGGAATGTAAATGTATTTATTTACATGTAGTACAGTCAACACAGTAGTGACACTCCCTTTCTCTCACTCTCTTTGGCTGCACTGCATGGTGTGATATTTCTTGAGCTTACTCCATTATTAATGGCATCCTTGTTTACAGTTCTGCTCAGTGAGCCTAAAGGAGGATCACATAGCACCTCTGTCCTTAAGGGCAGCCAAGCAGGCCGCATGCCACTGCCCCGCATGTTCTGCTGCGCTGGAGCCAGCTTGAGGGTACCAGCAAGAGCCTGTATGCGTGGACCGTGAGCATGCAGGTGAGCTGCCGACCAAACAGCGTGTACGTGTGTGTCCATGTATGAGTAATAGGCAGGCTGGCGTGAGGTCTGTGGTGAGGGTAAGGAGGTAGCAGGGTGTGTGCGTATGAGTGAGAGTGTGGGCTACATTGTGGTTTACCTCAGGCGGAGGGGGAGGCACACACATGCAGCTTAGTCATACTACCACAGGCCCCACGAGAGACAAGTGTGCTACCACAGCACTGACTCACACGCGTGCGCGCACACACACACACACACACACACACACTCACACACTTACTCATTATGCACACAAAAATACAAAGACAAACACATACTAATACACAAACATGCTACCACTAACTAACTGCCAGACATAAACATGCGAACCCTAACCAATCACCACAAAATGATTGGCTCTACATAGTGTTAATGAAGCGAAATAGTGACAAGTAACGAAAACAGGCAAAATTTGTGCTCAGAAATGAGACATTTGCTATGCAATTTATGCCAATCATTAGGTCTATCATGGTCATGTCATGAATAAAACTATAACTGACCATTGATTTCTGTACAAATAACTGCAACACTTTTTGTTCATCATATGCAACTAATTAAGCACAAGCCTAAATCACCAAATTAACTGATTGGCTATTCTGGTTCTTTGCTGCCTCAGTAGCTACTTATTAGCTCCCAACTAACAACGTAACCAGCTCAAGCTCAACTAAACAAACATTACTCACTGCTGCCCTCTAAAGGTGCTATAGCCCAAGTTAGAAGTTTTTGTTGTTTTTGAAAGATACAAAACATGCTTTCTTTGCTTTCTTTCATTTTCACATACAGCAATTTGGTCAAATGACAGTTTTTGTTGATTTTCTAACTGATCACACTTCTGCACATTTTAAATCACAACTGCTGTTTATGTTCTGAATTTAACACATTGGAAAAACATAAAACACAAAATGTGGCTTGTCCAAAAGTTATGGTACATTTTCAACTGTTGTTAAACAAAGCAAATAACTATAAATTGTACACTTAAAAACTGTTCCGTGTAGAGGATGTGTTAACTTATTTTTGCTTAGAAAATCAACAAAAGATATAATTTAACCAGGGGTGTTCAAATGTTTGCATTTGCCTTGCATTTGCCTCAAGCCAATGGATGAAAACACACCCAATTCCCATCCTGTTTGTTGCAACATAAACATATGGTTGTGAAAGCTAACAACTGCATTCAGTTTAAATTACTGTGATCATCTCAGATAATTGCAATCAGGCGATTATGTATTAATCGTCAATCACTTGCCCTCTCTTCCTCTTTCTCCCTTTTTCACACACATACACAATCTCTAAAAGCTGTCTGTGGCTTTTTTTATTGAAGAAGCAAGGAGAAAGATGGGGAACAGGAGGAGGAGGAGGAGTAGCCCACTCTGAATCATGCACTATAAACGTACACAGACACCTCCTCGGTGAAGGGTATTTAATATATATATATATATATATATATATATATATATATATATATATCAACCATCTCTACAATAAAGCAGCAGAAATTAACAACATCCCTCAAGTCAAACCATCCATCCATATCAAACTGCAGTGGGAGTAATTATAAGGCCTCCTTAGTGTCCTTGAAAGACCTGACGGAGTGAGAGGAGTGCAGTGCTGAGCTCCACTCCCTCTGGATACAGCCACAGCCTGTGTGTCTAACAATGTTTGGCATTGCGGGAGCTGTTTGTGCTGCACTTTTAATAGACTGAGAGATAAATGTGAAGCCTCCTTTTATCCCACACAGGGCCTACAGGGCAAGGCCTGCTACTCCCCCTCCTCCACACCCGCGCCACTGTAACCTTAGATGGCACGGCTGTGCTACGCCATGACCTCCAGTGAGCCAGACTCAGGGCTGGCACACATCACACATGTCTGGGTCATTTATGGTAATGGGGCTAGGTTCAATCCCTGAACATATGAGAGAAAGAAAGGGGAGAGAAAGAGGAAAGAGAGAGAGCGAGAGACTGAAGTGAGTGCAAATATATATACAAAGTCTGATAAAGAGAAAGAGGGGCAGATAAACTGTGCCTCATGGTACGCACAGCGCCTATAAAACTAGCGGACAGCTGCATTATCCACGCGCAA